AAAGCTGAACCCCAGGTCAATTCTCCATCCAAAAGCTGAACCCCAGGTCAATTCTCCATCCAAAAGCTGAACCTCAGGTCAATTCTCCATCCAAAAGCTGAACCTCAGGTCAATTCTCCATCCAAAAGTTGAACCCCAGGTCAATTCTCCATCCAAAAGCTGAACCTCAGGTCAATTCTCCATCCAAAAGCTGAACCCCAGGTCAATTCTCCATCCAAAAGCTGAACCCCAGGTCAATTTCCCATCCAAAAGCTGAATCCCAGATCAATTTTCCATCCAAAAGCTGAACCCCAGGTCAATTCTGCAGCCAAAAGCTGAACCCCAGGTCAATTCTCCAACCAAAAGCTGAACCCCAGGTCAATTCTCCAACCAAAAGCTGCAATTACCTAAAGTAGAACTGGAGCCAAAACTTTGTTATAGTTTTCTGTATAGAGTAAGGTCAGGTTATAATCAGAGTCTGTTTTTTTGCCCTGTGTGTCCCATTGAGGAGATTTCCCTTCACTTCCTGCCCACTAGCCACAACAGGAAGTGAGAGGCAATCCCTTTCAAAGTGAGGGAAATCCCTGGTGGTCACCAGAACTAGTGAAGATTTTCCATCTATATCTGTACTGGTGACAACCCAAAATTTGGGATTTTCTTTCACTTTCAGTGTTAATGGTCACCAGGCCAAATAGGGAGTGAACCTACATAATGGGGACACAGACAGCAATAAAAACCTGACAGGGCCTCTAAACCCTCTTCACTCCATCCAAAACAAACAAAAAAAGTTTTGGCTTCAGCTACACTTTAAACTTAAAAGAAATATACACAATGATGATTTTTGGATCTGGATTGCATTCATAGGTGGGACAGCACTGACATATATAGTTAATTGTAACATGGCAGAGTGTTGGTCTCACCTGTGTGTATTGGGGCATTGTGACATTCAGGTGGCAGAGCACTTGCTGGGACTGTTCATATTTCATGGGTTTGCGGAGGAAGGACATAGACCCGCATGGCTCCCGACTGCTGTCCCGTACCTGAGAGATTATACAACTTTAAAAGAAAGCTTTCCTAGGATAATACAGTTCACTTCTCTTCAATGAATTGTAGAGGATTAGTAAAAGCCTCGACGTGAGCACAACATTATACATTCAAAAGTATAACCAAACTACAAATGTGTAAAGTATAATAAAAAGTAATTGTCAAAATCTGATACAAGTCATTAATACATAACTGATGCAAATCATTATCAATAACTGATATAGTTCATAAATACATTGAGGGGAATTTATCAAAACTGGACCAGCCAAAAACTGGAGCAGCTGTGCACAGCAACCAATCAGCTTCTCTCATTCATTTTCAAATCTTATCTGAAAAAACTGAAGAGAGAAGCTGATTGGTTGCCATGGGCAACTGCCCCAGTTTTGTCTGCTCCAGTTTTGATAAATTCCCCTCACTATATATTTGTGTTGCATTTTGGTTGAGTGTTATTGATACTCTCCCAAGGTGGAAGCACAAGAAACACATCTATAAGATACAAAAAAGTCAAGATTTATAACAACTCTCTAAGCAGCTAGTCAGCGACGCCGCCCACTTGTCGAAATTAAAAAAAAAACCCTGATGCCCGCCGAACCGCCAGCACCCGCCGAACTCCCGCCGCAGAATTAAAGTTTGACAGATGCTGGGCAATTGTAAACAGATAGGCGGGAGGGCATGTGGCCTGGTATGGTGCAGGGAGGGGGGTGCATTCGCTCGTTCCCCCCCCTTTCCTGCCCTGCCAGGCATCTGCTCGGATTAAGGGTCTGGTTAGGAAATTTAGGGGGAACCCACATTTCTTTTTTCCCATTTTTGGGGTGTGTGGTTCCTACTTAAAATTCCTACCAGACTTAGAAGGCCTGGTATGACTTTTGGGGGGAACCCCATGCACTTTGTTATTTCTTTTCAACTTGGGGTTCCTCCTAACTTTCCTACCAGACCTAAAGGGCTCAAAATGATTTGGGAGGGGGACCCCATGCAGTTTTTTTTTTCTTTTGTTTCCATTTTTTTTATTCTGCTCGCTACCTCCAAGAACAACTGACTCTTGGATTCAAGATTCACTCACTGCCGTTCGGCCCCTATGAGAAGTTGGATCAGCTAAATCGTAGGGTTCTTCACTTCGGCTCAGCCAAACATGCTGAGCATGTTCGGCTGAACCGAGCGGAGCTAAAGCCAGCTGGTGTAAAGCTGGAATCTCGACTCGACTGAAGTGAATAGCAGAACGGGGTTTGGCTCCCTTTACTTCGGCTTGGTTATTCACTCGGCTGCCTTCAGCAGCTTAGTGAAAACCCCCCATTAAGGCTATTTATAAAATGTTCGCAGAGCGAACGTCTCTGAGAATGAGATTCACAGCAAGTTAGAGCCGAGGAGCACGCAAAATTGAATGAGAATACAAAAACGAACATTGTTTTTCAGGTCAAAGGTTATTGAGGACTGCCAGGTATTTTCCTTCTACTTGCAGAATATTTAGAGAGAGGAGAAATGTGCATGTACTGGAGTAATGTATGGAATATTTTGTTTTTTAGATTTTGCCCAAGCACACACTTTCATTGCACTCCAAAAGTGATGCAAGCTTCAAAAAGACATATCTGGCTTGAGGAAAAGGAAGCTTCGCAACCGCCATGAGACGCATTCCCTCCAATGAGGTTCTTCTCCGGTAATCGAGCCCTTGGCGATTTTCCTCCGAAAGGACGCAGAGATGGGTCTCTCACCTGACCACTCACCATGCATTATTTATGAGCTGCATGAATTATGTATCACTCCTTCAATTATATTACACACTGAGGCTGAGGATGCAGCACAGGGGCAGCAACAGGGCTGGAGGGTGATGACTAATGGAAGAATGGAAGATCTCTTCCTGCAACATGAAACAATGAAGACAACAAAACCCATAATGGAGAAAAGAGCAATCTTCCAACAGCACAGAATGATAATGTGACAGAAACTCTGATATCTAACTGGAACCTTCCAATAGCTGTGTCACCGTGTATCGTGACACGGGTGACCTTGCCAGTAACATAAGTCACAAAGGTGTCACCTTAATGGGCAGTGCTAGCCGGTTCTCTTTAAACGCCTGAAAAGTAAAACTCCTCTGCTGCGTGGCTTTCTTCAGAGGAATGAGATTACCGGACAGCTCCACAAATAGCTGCGTTCCATCCATCACCTGTAAACACAAAGATATCATGTAACTGAACGCCGGTCCAGGAGCCACCCGGAACAACATTACATCACTGCTGACAGGAGGTCACTATGCCATTAAATAACCCTGGCTCCTATATATATATATATATACACACACCCTAAACCAGACCTGGGCATTTTATGGTCCGTGGGCTCTATCCGGCTTTTTGTTTGTCCCTGTCCAGCCGGCAGTCTGGCCATGGACCGATCACCAACCTGCGCTAAGGCCGGTGCATCCACTACAAGCCATAGCCCAGTGGAGGTTGGCGATTGGTCCAGGTCCAGACCATGCTCCTCTTCACTCGTTGGTTGCTAGGACGGCTGGCATCCTAACAACCAATGATGTCAGGGTTCTTCCTCCTCTGCAGTCATTGGTTGCAAGGAACGCCGGGCGGTCCTAGCAACCAATGATGTCAAATGTGTTCCCTGCTCCCAGCATTACAGGACGACAAAAAAGTATCTTCTTCTGTCCTCTCCTGCAGCTCCACCTCTCCGCTACCGGAAAATAAGTGATGTGCCACATACTGTGATGGGAACTAAAAGGCTTCATTCCGGGCCCATTCACAGCTATGGTTCTGTGCAATTTACACACTGTACCAAGCAATGCACCTACCTTGAATAAGAGTGTGGCAGGTGCATTGCGTTGCGTGCCAGTTTCTCATGTGGCTCCTTGAGAAAATGAATCACCCACCCCTGCCCTAAACCCAGAATGTCAGCACATGATTGTCATTAAGCGTGTCCAGTGCATGTATAAGATGGAGAGGAAAAGTCGGGTTGCAGTAAAGCTGTAGTCTGTGGTGACACTATGGGGTCTATTTATAAACGATAGGCAGAGCCATTCACCCTGCAAATATGTGTGAACGTTCTTTAGTTTTTTTCTTTACAAGTGGAATTGTTTTTTTTTAGTGTAATATCGCATTATGGCCACTAGATGGATTAAAGATACACTCCCTTGTATAGAAACAACTATATAGCAGTTACTATATACCAGTATCACTGGATGTTTCCTCTATTATTGTTACTATATACCAGTATCACTGGATGTTTCCTCTATTATTGTTACTATATACCAGTATCACTGGATGTTTCCTCTTTTATTGTTACTATATACCAGTATCATTGGACGTTTCCTCTATTATTGCTACTATATACCAGTGTCACTGGATGTTTCCTCTATTATTGTTACTATACACTACTATCACTGTATATTTCCTCTATTATTGTTACTATACACCAGTATCATTGGATGTTTCCTCTATTGATCCTCTGTTATTGTTATAATATACCGAAGTCACAAGATAATTCATCTTTTATGTTAAGAATGATGCAGACACTTTTTCTTTCCGTCAATGTTTTACCTTAGGAGAGGTGGCTACTTTGTGTCACCGAGAGACCAATTCTACCAAGAAAGTCACAGAGAAGATATTTCCCTTTAACTTTTTCATGTCTCTATGAGAACGTTCTGGTGACTGTGTAACTCCGGACATATCGTTTGTGCTTTCTGGGAACAATACATAATGTTCTCTGTGTTATTTATAGGGTGACTCTGTGTCATGGAATGAAATCCATAGGGATGGACAGAAAGTTCTGCTATCAATGTGTGACTTTTACTCCTTGCTCCCAAGTCTCTTAAACGCTATGCTTGGACTGCTGACAGAAACCACATGTACCTCAATGTCCCGGCTGCGTGCCACCTCACTGAAATTCTCATGCTGTTCCAGGGTCTTCTCCAGTTTATCACCAGTCATGCAATAGCAGCGGAGACGTCCTTCCCGCCCGTCTGACATCTTTGCAAAGACCACAAAGCGGGCGGTATATGGCACGGCACTGAGCTCCCGATACAGCTGGGAGGAGAAGGAGACAGCCTCGGCGGTACGAGGACAATCTGACAGCCAAAACCTGAAGTGGTAACATAAGTGATGGAGATAAATATAGTCTATCAGAAACTATGGGTCTTATGCAAGAGTGGAAAACTAACAACAACAATGCTTAGCAAAGATTAGAACCTCTAGCATCAATTGAGAGGTCAGCTTTAACGGAGAAGACTATTGAAAGAGGATTCTTGGTTCTATAGGTTACTGCACATTGCTCTTACTAACTAAAGAGCTCTTCTCTTCAGTCTACTCCTGAATCTCTGAAAGGTAATAACTTACCTGGCAGAGACATTGGTTGTAAAATTGGCACATTCATTGACATATAATAATTTTGTAGTTCCAGTTATGTCCTCCCATTGAGCAGGAGCTGTTCCACCTGTCAGGAAACAGAAGAATATGCATAACCAAGATGATACAAATACAAATATAAGGCTCTTGCACTCATAGATGAACATGACGCATAGGAATACACTATGTTGCCAACGTTTTTGGTCACACCAATATGAGCTTGTTGGACATGCCATTCCAAAACCATGGCTATTAGTATGGAGTTGCCCCCCCCCCCCCATCTTTGCAGCTATAACAGACTCTACCCTTTGGTAGGCTTTCATTTTGGAGTGTGTCTGTGGGTCTTTATGCCAAAAGCATTTGTGAGGTCAGGTACTGATATTGGAGAAGAAGACCTGGCTCAGTTGGGTTGAGGTCAGGGCTCTGTGCAGGTCATTTGAGTTCCTCCACACAAAACTCACCAAACCATGTCTTTGTGGACCTGGCTTTGCGCAGTCATGATGGCACAGAAAAGGGCCTTCACCAAACTGTTGCCACAAGGTTGGAAGTACACAATTGTCTGCAATGTCTTTGTATGCTGTGGTATTATCAGTATCCTCCACCGGAGCCACCTCAACTCAATAATTAGTGGGGTGTCCACGTAATTTTAACCATATAGGTAGGTGCAATGGTCAAGTGTTCACAAACCTTTCCTCATACAATGTATGTGAAACTGGTGCAGAGTTGTACTTGACCACTGGAAGGAATCACACAAGCAGTTGGAAGACAACTATCTTGGATGCAAAGGATATTAGTTGATGGATAGTAAAAGCCTTTTACACTTGTACTACCTACCTGTTACACTGCAAAGCAGCCTCAGACTGGTGGTATCTCCTTCACCACTGTCCCTGGGACTATCTTTCCAAGATGGCGGCAGGGGTATGCGCAGTCCTATTGGCCGATGAAATTTCCTGCGCCTTGGTTCCACAGTGACTATAGGGCCAAATGTTGCTTGGTTGCCTAGCAACCGGGAAACTAGCTCATCTGGCACGGATTGAGCCTAGAAAGATATGAGAATTTATTTCTTATGTCAAAGAATACTTCATGCATGGGTCTTCTCTCACAATAAGTATGTACAGGGCACTTACTTGTAGTGACAGCTTCACTTTCTTGGTTACAGCTGTTGGGGGGAAGGTGGCCTGAACCTGGGGTACTAACCGGCTTTTTAAGATTCCCCCTTCTGGCCCAATGAGTTCACAGTCCTGGCAAACCCGGGACATGATCACAAAGTAAAGCGGGAAGTCGGTGGTGACAATACGGCAAAGGCGCTTCTTGTGCAACTCCTCTTCACTCTCCAGCTCTGTGGATTGACCATACGAAGTTGGAATTGATTTGAGTTGATGATGTTGCCATCAATTACAGTAGCATAAACAGACTGCTCAATATACAACAATGAATTTAATGCTACAAGCAACTTAAAACTGTTTAACCTCTACTGCGGGCAGTTTATACCTTCATCCATGCCACTCAGTGCTTCCTCCAGATATTGCTTCCCATACCGATTCTGGTGTTCCTTCCACACGGACCCATTATCGCTGCGCAGTATGACCAGTTCTCGATCACCACGTCCCACTGATGAAAAGTGGGGTATCTCTACCACCACCGGGCTATAGCAGAAAAAGTATATAAGAGAGGATATACAAGGTAATGACAGAAGTGTTTTGTAGTGGCTATACGGCTCAGTTGTGTTTATTCTTATTTTGGGCCCATCAGCATGCATCCACACAGCAAAAAAACATACCTGATCCATTTTTCCAAGCACACCGCAATATGGTGCATGTGTTTTTAGATGTATGCATTGTATTGCATTGAGGTAAAAGAGCGTTGTGTACCGTATGGATGCTTTTTGGATGCTGCACATAACTCCCAAAACACATGCACAATGAGTGAGTCCAACGTGAGTCAATGCACATTACAATGTATGTGCATAGGTATAAAGCCAGCCTTAAAACTGAATGAGATGACACTATACTCAGGAGTTAAATCTTAAAAATACATTCAGGTACCTTAACTATTAACATCAACGTATCTTATTTGTGTATCACTCGGCTGTAGATCCTCAAATCATCTCTGATTTGGTGCTGACACTGTCCTTCCTTCTGCAGGGGGGCTACTTTTGTTCCCCATGGTCTCCGTGTGTTGTAAAGAAGTCACCGCTCCAAACTCACTCCCGTGATAGTCTACAATCTCATGTTTGGTTTGCTAATTTGTATTGAGATTGTAGTCCATCTCGAGAATTAGTAAATCAACCCCTTTATCTTGTAAAACGACAAGGTAATATGGTATAGCAATTGGTGAATGTGCATTGCAGGGGTTGCAGTGATGTCTCGTTGACACTTGTGGCCTAATTCACAAAACTATGATAGGGGGTGAAAAGTGAACCTATGTCTGCTTCCAGTATCCAATCATGTGCAGGGAAATTTCTTCCTCACTTGACTGGATGTTTCTTTCATATATGTCAGTTAGACTGCATCCACCAAGCACCATGCTGACCCAATGGGAACCTGACCAGCTACAGGGGTACCGTCTGTACCCCACTATCGGTGGCCCTGTTCCCAACACATGTAAAACGCACTTTGATTCATACATTTGTTGTGAACGAATCCTAAAGCTGGCCATATAAGCCTCAAATTTCTCTTTTTTAGCCCCATGCCTAAATTTTCAGCCTGGGCCTGATCAAATCTACAATTTCCTGGGTAAAAAACATGTCAACAAAACAAAATTTAAGATATTTGGTGTATTGGTAGTAACGCCATCTCTTACCTCAGAAATTGGGCTCCAGTAGGACCCAGGGCAATTATCCTGCTGGTCAATCCTTCTTCCTCACCCAGCGGTGGCGGGTTATTAAGCTTTTGTGGTTTCACAAGGCGGCAGGTAATGCGCGTAGGCGCTGCACAGGTTCGGGGTGGGATAATAACCCGCAGACCATTGTGGCGGCTTCCACGCATTGAGCCACCTCGGGCATCAACCATAAAACTGACTAAAAACCTGCAAAAGAAAGAATTACAATCACATGCAAAAGCTGAATAATTCTACAATATACAGTATACACGCCGATCAGCCATAACGTTATGACCACCCGACTAATGTTGAGTAGGTCCCCCTTTTGCATGGACTCCACTAGACCTCTGAAGCTGTGCTGTGGTATCTGGCATCGAGCAATCTATAGCAGTTACTTTAAGTCCTGTAAGTTGTGAGGTGCAGCCTCCATGGATCGGACTAATTTTTCCAGCACATCCCACATATGCTCAATTGGATTGAGATCTGGAGAATTTGGAGGCCAAGTCAACACCTCAAACTTGTTGTCTTCCTCAGACCATTCTTGAACCATTTTTGTAGTGTGTGATACTGGCATCGCGCCTCGGCCATCGGGACGAGCCGTGCGCGCAACTGCGCAGGCGCACTGCGAGACTCCTCCCACTCACGTACGGGGTCCGTCGGTGACAATGCGCAGGGGCGCCACAAGACTCCGCCCACTCACTCGAGTAGTCGGCATAAAGCCGCGGTCCGCCGTTTGATCGGCGTCCCACTATTATTGAAGCAGGACGCTGATCAAACCGACAGCCCTGCTACTCCAGGAACCACCTGCTAAAGGAGAAATTGCTGAGATCCCTCCACACTATACAGAGCCTCAAACAGCAAGTATTGCTACCATAGCCATAGGGCTATGGTAAGGAGATCCACAGCACTTCCTATGCTATATGCTTACTCAACTGTCTGCTGTATTACAACCTAACCTATGGCATTTCTATATGCCTACTCAACTGTCTGCTGTGTTACAACCTAACCTATAGCATTATTATATGCCTACTCAACTGTCTGCTGTATTACAACCTAACCTATAGCATTTCTATATGCCTACTCAACTGTCTGTGTAATGCAAATGAACCTATCTCAGAACCGAATGCCTAATCACCTGTATGCTTGGTAACCGTTTATACTAAATCATAGATATATGCCTACATAAATCTGTCTTCCGTGTCACAGGGGGATATCATATATCCGTGGCCTCAAAATAGTTGCTAGTCTAAACCATAACATAACCTCCTGCTTCACCCGGAAGACCTACCTTAACGGTGAACGCAGTCTTTGTGCTAAACGGGGTATGATGTGAAGCAGCTCTCTCCAGGCCTTATCAAAACCTTGGGCATCGGAGGTAGAGCTGCGATCTGATACCCGTTCTAAAGCCATTTCCACAGCTGTGGTCCAAGGACCTTGTTCACCCCTGGGGGGTGGTATTACATAGTGTGGCAGGATGCATTACCCTGCTGAAAGGGAATACCGTTTCCATAAAAGTGGGGTACTTGGTAGGTGGTACGTGTCAAAGTAACATCTACATTAATGGCAGGACCCAAGGTTTCCTGGCAGAACATTGCCCAATCATCACATGTTGCCACTGCTAGCTTGCCTTCTTTCCATAGTGTATCCTGGTGCCATCTCTTCCCTAGGTAAGTGACACACACGCACCCGGCCATCCACACGATGTAAAAGAAACCATGATTTATCAGACCAGGCCACCTTCTTCCATTACTCCGTGGTCCGGTTCTGATGCTCACATGCCCATTGTAGTCACTTTTGGCAGACATGGGTCAGCATGGTCACAAACTGCAATGCACTATGTGTTCAGACACCTTTCTTTCAGAGCCAGCATTACATTTTTCACCAATCTGAGCTACAGTAGCTCTACTATTAGACCGGACTAAACGGACCAACCTACGCTCCCCAGGTGCATCAATGAAACTTTCCTGCCCATGGTTTTCCTTCCTTGGACCACTTTTGGTAGGTCCTGACCACTGCAGAGCGTGAACATCCCAGAAGAGCTGCAGTTTTGGAGTTGCACTGACCCAGTCGTCTAGACATCACAGCTTGGACCTCAAATCCTTACGCTTGCCCAATTTATTCTGCTTCCAACACATCAACTTCAGGGACAAATTGTTCACTTGCTGCCCAATATATCCCCACTGTTCTTTAGAAAGCCATAATTATAATGTTTCTTCTTCTTTTCTCCTTTTTTCATGAACATTCCTTACATAATCTGCCCTGTTTCCATCCCACAAAATATTTATACACCAGATTTATGTCAGCTACCGATTTCTGCGTATCAAAACACCATCTGTAGCAGCATTTGTGGAGATTGGCTGTAAGTTTATGCAGCACTAACCCCCACTAAGGCTGTTAGGGGTATACAGACTGTGCTTTTCAGTACCTGCAGAGCCAACTTAGAAGAAAGTTTGTGCACAATGGAGTTTTCATTTTTGGAATACTTTGTAGGCGATAGCTGTGATATGCTGGTATTAAAACATAGCAAAGCAGTATAAAATCTGGGCGAATCATGACTCCTAGCACAATAATATAAACCGATTAAGCTTGCTTGACACAAAACTGCACTTCCAAACAATCAGAAACCATCTTGTTTTGGTCTGAGTTCAGTAAAGCAGACATCTCAACTCTCCCGGAAGCTCCGGGAGTCTCCCGCTATTAGATAGCGGCCCGACCGTCAGTCAGAAAAGAAAAGGCATACGATTGCATAGCTAGATTCCTATTGGCTATTGCACTTTGCAATAGCCAATAGCAAACTAGCTAATGCACCCGCCCACTGCTGCTGTCAATCAGCAGAGGGGGACCTCAATTTTTCTATCAGGTCCTCTTCTGCTGATTGAAAGCAGCAGTGGGCGGGTGCATTACCTAGTTTCCTATTGGCTATTGCAAAGTGCAATAGCCAATAGGAATCTAGCTATGCAATCGTATGCCTTTTTTTTTTTTTTATTCTGACGACTGCAACTGTCAGAATACAAAAAAGAAAGCCTGCAGATAGCAAAGAAGCTATTGCTTCCTGTGCTATCTGCCATCATTTCAGCGGGGTGCTCTCTCCCAGCCCCCCTAACCTCTCCTCCGTGGATGGGGGGGGAGGAGGGGGGGGGTAGCACCTCCAGGAAATGAGAGGGACACCTCCCTGAAAGTGCTTCTTTCAGGTTGGGATCCCTGAGTAAAGGGAATTCATATTTGTTGATAGAGATTACTGTACTTACTTATTATCTCTTTGTATCTTGTTGTTTATCAAATAAGTCCTCCTAATGTCCTCCATGCAAAACATTGCCCCAAGGAAGAAGACTACCAACCAGTCTGTGTCTCCCTTTCCTTTGCCAATAGAGCATGGGAAACATGAAATGCTGGCTCTGATTGATTACTAGGGGCCAACAAGAACCATCCCTAGCTAGTAGTAGTTGGTCACATTCAAATGGACTTGTTCGTAGCTTCTCCATACCACATCTTCATTTCTAATGAGTGTCAGGAACATACCCCACAATTCTTTGCACTTGTTGGAACTAAAGAAGTGACTTAGAGAAGTTATGAAGCATCTTCAACATTACAGAACAAGTCCGGTTCAAAGTGACCAACTACTACTAGATATACCATAACCTGGATAAATGAGAACCTTCACAGACACGAACTTCTTTTAGACACTGTTATTTGTAAGGCACACACCTTCTGACTGGGAATCAGAAAGTTCTCAAAGACTCTTTGAGCAGTGGTCAACCTACTCCAACCAATCAAAGGTAACACATTTTAAAGAATCAGACCACCCAAACATTATATTTCAGATTCTAGTAGATGTTGAGGACTTGAACCACTTCACAGGTTTTTATAGATATATCTTGGGGACTTTCTTGGTAAAATATGATGCACAACTGTATATACAGTGGCGTAACAATCGCCATAGCGACCGAGGCAACCGATATGGGGCACGGGCACACGGGGGCCAGGCCAGGGCATCCCTCTGATGCCGTGTGGGCCGCCTGGGTCACTATGGCATGTAAGGGTGCTGGCTGTCACTGACACAGCTCAGCAGCTGCGTTTCACCTCACAGCTGCTGCAGAGCTGTGTCAGTGACAGCCAGCAGCTACGTCAGGAGAGGCCGGCGTTCGCAGTGAAGGAGGAGGCGGGGCCCGCATAAGAGCAACCCCGCCTCTTACATCACTGTGTGGCAGATAAACATTGATTAGAGCTGTGAAAACCAACCATGGTGCTCTCATCCGTTCTTAATTTCACGTAATTAAATTGTCATACGTGGCCTTTAAAGGAGAACTATGGGGTTAAGGCTTTTCCCCATAGTTCTCCTAAGGGTAACGGGAGGACACAAACTAGCGTCCTCCCGTCACCCTAAGCTCAGTATACCGTGAGCTGCAGCTCGCGGTATACTGAGACGCTGAAGCGGATCCCGACAATTGTGCCCGGATCCGCCCAGCTGCGTGAGTGACAGCTGGCTCTGCCTATCTAGAGGCAGAGCCAGCTGTACCCGCCCCCTCCCCCGTCCGATCCGCCCGTCAGCCATGGCGGATCGGGGCTGGGAGGGGGGTCTGGCTCTGCCTATCTAGAGGCAGAGCCAGCTGTACCCGCCCCCTCCCCCGTCCGATCCGCCAGTCAGCACTGGCGGATCGGAGCGGGGCGGGGGAATCCAGCCCCTCCCCTGTCACGGCAGAGAGCTGTGACAGGATCGAGAGGTGAGCGAATGCCGGTATGTGTTCGCTCACCTCCCGATCTACTGAGCCGACCTGTGACAGTCTCGATGTCACAGGTCGGCTAGAACTATGAGGTGAGTGAAAAGCACTCACCTCATAGTTCTCCTTTAAGCCAAGGGGACAGTCACAATGCCAAATGGTAAAAGGATATCAAGTGTAATATGTAGCAGAAATCATATCAACATCCCAGCAAACAGTGTGTCAAGAGAGGAAATAAAATATCTACTATCTTACATAGTCATTATTAGTTCTGTACACTGTCAGCTGGCCATCAATGATCCATATTGTACCAGTTTAATGGCAGCCAAGAGAAGGGCTATACGTCTATGGCAGCAGAGAGTAAGCCCACGCCTGCCTTAGACTGTAAGCTTCTTGAGAGCAGGAACTGAAGTGAACATGCAGTATGTAAAGCAATGCATAAATTGTTGGAGCTACAGTATATAAATGCCAATAATTAATAAATAATGTGTAGGTTTGTCCTCTGGTCACTCACCCTGTGTGGACGGGACTGGCCACAGGACTGATGTTGTCTGAGGTCTCAGTGGCTGGACTGCTGGGGATCTGGGATTCTTCGTCTAATTCCCTAGATGACTGGATCCAAAGAGGGATAAAGTTAGCACACAATGCCTTCCAGTTACTATAACATACAGTGCATACCTTGTTATAATTGTAGTTTTATCTGTTGTATGTAGTAAATATCATAGATATGTTCCTAAAGTTGGCCATACACTGTTCGACTTTGGACCAAACTTCGAGCAGTGCGGGGCTCTGTTGGCACCACTCAATTTTTCAGTCTTGCCAAAGGAGCCAGGATGACAATTGTAAGCCAAGCGGAGGCATTTGCTGCGGAGGGAATTCCATCCATGCTGTGAGTACAGTGGAAGTGAAATCTGATTTTTTATTTAGGCCCTCATCTAGTGTATGGACAACTGCACAATTACTGGGACTGAATACGTTACTTGGGCAAGTGGTGAATCGTCTCCAGCATTACAGAACAAGTCCAGTTAAATGTGAAAAACTACTTGGGTAGGTATACCATGACCTGGATAAATAAGAACCTTCACAGGTACCTTTTTACAGCAGACCTTCAGTTCATAACATATCCCCCCTAGCACAATTAAAAAGGCCCTGGGCCCTGACCTGCCAACCTCCTGGTAGGCAAGAAATATGTTTCCCTGCTCTCGCAGCTTCTTGGGATGTCCATGTCCTATTTCACAGGAAGCTGCAGGGATACGCAGCAGCCGGTTGGAGGACCGTACACATCGTGGGCTGGCTGCCGAACCCAAAAGAGGCAGCCGGCTCCCCGTGACTGAAGACAAGATGTTCATGTGGGATCTGCGGTGACAGTGGAGCAGCAGATTGCAGTAGAACAGTGCTGGATTCGCTTGGCGAGTAAGTATGTGAATTGAGGAGAACCTATTAAAGATATCCCATCACACTCCAGACCAATGAATCTCTTCTTGCAACTGCAGTGGGTGCTGAAATGGCCAGCAGATGGTGCCACAAAAACAATAGAAATAATGATGACACCAAGGCACGCCAAGGTCCACATTATCAATCCATCTTTTATTGACGTTATATAAACCTGCTATCACAAGAGATTGCAAGGTTTCGATACTAGCGTGACATTGTTTTGCCTGATGAGGGACCACACTGGTCCTGAAACATTGTAATCTCTTGTCATAGCATGTTTATCGAACGTCCATAAAGGATGGATTGATAATGTGACCCTGATGTGCTGGTGACCTCGTTATGTCTACTGAGGACAATCAGGTCTAGTAAGTAAAAAGGGTTAAAAAAAGGGAGGGGTGTGGTTGGGTTGAATTATTATGGTAATAATATAAAGTTCTTGCGACACATTTTGTACATACAGAACAAATAGGTCAGCCAATATAATAAAAAGGTAATAGTACGACATTGCAGAGAGGTTTGTAGGAACAGAGAGGGCAGACGATGATATCACAAAGCAAATGTCATACTTTGACCAGGGCCATCCCTTAAATGAGATAGCCTAAGACTGTTGACTCACGCAACATCTCTTTGGGTCGCATGGCCACTCTACTGCACAGTGTACCTGTTGCCCCCTTTCTGGCCAGAGCATCCCAGGTTTCTAAGAGCTGGGCAAACAGATGTGTAAGGGTCATACACATCTCCCTGCACAGGTCTTAGCAACCTGGGACACTCTTGCTTGTGTCCCACCCTGGTACTGGCAACCAGTGATGTCTCCGGTTTGCCAGGAGCTGGTCGGGACACCAGCCAGAGCGTCCTAGGTTGCTAAGAGCTGGGCACGGAGATCCAGAGCCCTTACACATCTCCCCACCCAGTTCTTACCAGTGTCTCCACCAACACCATCATTACTCCCCCCAACAGATTGCATGCACCACCAGTACGCAACCCTCCCAAGCCCCCAGCCTCCCCCAGCCTCCCCCATCCTCAAGCGGCAAAAAGGCTAGGGACACCCCTGATTTTATTCATGATTAAAAAAAGTGATACAAAATGTATACTGCTACTTATGTATTAATGTAACAATTACCGGTTCATCCTCCTCTTTTTTAAACATGACTGTTTCTGGGGTGACACAAGGAATTCTGGGCAATCCAGGTGACCCCACCCTCCTAAAGAGAAAAATGACATCACATGTAGATGAATTGAACAAAACTATGAGACAAAGTAGCAGAAAATGATCCAATTTTTTTAATTACCCCTGGTCGAGTTTGGGTAAAAATTCCATGTCTGTATCCTCGTCCCGCTCTCTAGGCCCCGGAGGGGGTCTGAAATCTGGTGGCTCCTCCCCTAGGGAACAGCACAGAGGTAGAAAGAGACGGTGGTTATTGAAGCATATATATTGTGTATAGAAATCCCCTATGTGAGTCGCACACAAACACTACAGACTTTATCTAATAAGGCAAAAGCAATGTGCAAAGTGCAGTCACCCGAGGCAGCCAATCGGAATTCGCCAATCATGGGCCCGACTACCATGACCATCTCAAAACTGCAATCTAATTGGCTTCTGCGGGGAATCTGCACGCCATTGCTTTTTTTGTTGTGGTGTTATTAAATAAAGACCTCTTACGTATCAGTATACACTTGCAAAGGTGTGTTTGTGGTTCAGATTTTATAAAGAGAAGCAATACGTACGAATAACATACAATGAGAACGGATGCTCAAAAAACATGCACACGTGCAATAAAATAAAAAAACGCACGCCGACACACAAAGCACAGATAATCTGATACATCTCGTGGCAAATGACTCACATAGAAGTTGAAGCTTGTAGTATTGCGTTATGTTAATGATATGCATATTTATGTTAATGATCCTACAGAGGAGACTGGGTGATTCAAGTCATATTACAGATAAAGCAGGGAACTGCGCTGTTTAATTGGGTTTCATGGGTTTGTTATGGTGACATGGTCAATTCAGAAATTCATATTAAGAAATAGTAATGAGATGATGCAGAGAAAATTAGGCTGTGAACACATACCCATAAATTTACAAGCATTATAATATAATGAAACCCACGGAGATTTAAGCAATTTGATATGAAGTTTAAATGAATCCTAAATGATGGGGCCTGGTTTTTAAATTGGGTTTAATGGATGGGGCCTAAAAGATGGGGCTTGGTATTTAAATGGCGCCTATAGGATGGGACCTGGTGTTTAAATGGGGCCTAAACGATGGGGCCTGGTATTTAAATAGAGTCTAAAGGATTGAGCCTGGTATTTAAATTGACCTAATAAGATGGGCCCTGGTGTTTGAATGGGGCCTAAAAGATAGGGCTTGGTATTTAAATTGACCCTAAAGGATGGGCCCTGGTATTTAAGTGGGACCTAAAAGAGGGGCTCCCGGTATTTAAATGGAGCCTAAGGGATGAGGCTTGGTATCTAAATGGAGCCCAAAGGAAGAGTCATCGTATTTAAATGGGGCCTAAAAAAAGGGATTGGTAGTTAAATTGAACCTAAAGGATGGAGCCTGGTATTTAAATGGAGCCTAAAGGATGGGGCCTGGTGTTTACATGGGGTCTAAAGGATGGGGCCTGGTGTTTACATGGGGCCTAAAGGATGGAGCTTGGAATTTAAATGGGGTTTAAAGGATGGGGTCTGGTATTTTAATGGAGCCTAAAGAATAGGCTATTTAAATGAGGCCTAAAAGATAGGGCTTTGTATTTCAATTGAGCCTAAAGGATGGGGTCTGGTGTTTAAATGGGGCCTAAAGGATGGAGCTTGGAATTTAAATGGGGTTTAAAGGATGGGGTCTGGTATTTTAATGGAGCCTAAAGAATAGGGCCTAAAGCCTCATCTAAATAGAGCCTGGTATTTAAATGGTGCCTATAAGATGAGCTCCCGGTATTTAAATGGAGCCTAAGGGATGAGGCTTGGTATTTAAATGGAGCCCAAAGGAGGAGTCCTGGTATTTAAATGGGGCCTAAAAAAGGGGATTGGTAGTTAAATTGAACCTAAAGGATGGAGCCTGGTATTTAAATGGGGCCTAAAGGATGGGGCCTTGTGTTTACATGGGGCCTAAAGGATGGAGCTTGGAATTTAAATGGGGCCTAAAGGATGGGGTCTGGTATTTTAATGGAGCCTAAAGAATAGGGCCTAAAGAATGGGGCCTGGTATTTAAATGAGGCCTAAAAGATAGGGCTTTGTATTTCAATTGAGCCTAAAGAATGGGGCCTGGTATTTAAATGAGTCCTAAAAGATGGGGCTTTGTATTTCAATTGAGCCTAAAGGATGGGGCCTGGTATTTAAATGAGTCCTAAAAGATAGGGCTTTGTATTTCAATTGAGCCTAAAGGATGGGGTCTGGTATTTAAATGAGGCCTAAAAGATGGGGCTTTGTATTTCAATTAAGCCTAAAGGACGGGGTCTGGTATTTAAATGGGGGCCTAAAGGTTGGACCTGGTATTTGGGTATTGAGCCTATGACATATGCCTCAGTGTTTGGTCATGTGACCAGCACCAAGGGGAGGTCCAGTATTCTCCAGCCTCTTTGATCGTCTTTTGTTTTTTTTTTTTAAATCTGCATTAATACTTTCCCAGTCACAAGTCAATAAACTATGCCCAAGAAACAATCCTTTCTGTGTCTTTCCTCCTCTTTTATCCGCTATGTCCAGTGGGACAGTAGGGTCAGATTGGAGGGAGGTCCTTAATACAGTATAGGTCCACTTTATGATAGAGGATGCAAAAGCAACTAAATTACCAATCGACTCCATTGGGACAGCACCATCCCAATGCAGAAATCTACCAAACAGTAAATGGCGGCCTACCAGTTACCTAGAAGAGTGTAGCAATCGGCCACAATAACTATTCTGCACTGCCTTAGAATCATATATTGTGAATTTAAAGCACAATATGGAACTAAAAAATAACAATCTGCTGTGTTTAAAAGGTAATATTGAGCCTGGTAACATCCAGGCCTTGTTGTCACAATTGGCCAGTATTATTTTTGCATGCTTAAGAGATAAGCTAAGCCTGTTTTTACCATGTAAATCCGATGCCTAATGGCTGGTAATGATATAACAGTCACTAGTGTAACTACTTGAGATGTAAATGAATGCTAATTATCTTTCATTGAAACCTTAATTACTTGTGTTTATATAATGCTGTAAATAATCAACATCTCATTAGCAGTTTATAGAGCCGCGGAAAGGTTTCTAAAACCCCCGAGTGTAATAACCAAGCGATCGTGTATTTAACCACAATAACAAAACGAAAAACCTCTACATCAAATAATTCATTATTCTGCAAAAATTATATGAACTGAGTCTAAATTCTGATATACTGGACAAGTGGCGCCTCTTGTGGATTCAAAAGGAAAAACTTTATCAGTGGGCTTTGCTTAAACTGACACTAAACTCAGGAGTTAGGCCCCGTTCACACCAGGGAGGTTGCGAATCAGCGCGGTTTCCGTGCGTATTTTAAAAGAGCTGAAACGCAATAAAAACGCCCAAAACCGCGCTGAACAGCGCGGTCCCATTGAAAGCAGTATAGAAACCATGCTGATCACGCAGCAAAAAAGGGTCACGGAGCAATTCGGGTGGGAGGCGGTTCAAATCGCGCAATCGCATGAACGGTCCCCATAACATTGTATGTTCATGTCGGCCAAAGACGAACCGCCCTGGTGTGAACAGGGCCTAAGATCTTAAAAATACATTCAAGTACCTTAACTATGATTGATTTTTTTATTGAAATTTACCCACAGATTGCTGAAGGTGCAGGTTCCTTCGGGGCCTATTCCTGATGCTGGGAGGAGATTCTGTGCCCTTTATGGGGTTCTCGGTCTCCTCCCACCCAGGAGGTGGGTCTCTCTTCGGGAGAGCCCACCTGCCAAGTACTACGGGGGACCTGTTTCGGCAGGTCCCCAAAGGAAATAGTCCACTGGCCTTCGGGTTAGTGGACCAAAGTATCAGGAGCCTTGCGCCCTGGGGGGTCGGGAAATGGGTGCCTTCTTTATTGAAGGACCTTGCACCCTTGTGCACGTTTTTGTATTCTGTGATTTCACGGTTCACTTTTTTTGTTCACAGGGGGAAGTTTGTTTAGACGCACGTCCACAGGCTTAAAAAAAAATTAGTAACAACAATGTATCTTATTTTTGTATCACTCGGCTGTAGATCCTCAAATCATCTCTTTTGTTCCCCATGGTCCCTGTGTGTGTTGTAAAGTAGTCACCGCTCCAACTCGCTCCTGTGTTGGATGTGACGGACTGAACCGTCACTGGGGCTGCTGGAGGAGCCTGAGGGCTAGCCTCCTTCCTACAGACCACGGACCTAGGACTATAGCGATTTATTAGCCCAGAGAACTTTGTGTGCTGTGTGTGTTCCCAGTGTAATATTTCATCTAGAGAGAGAACTTGTCACTATTTGATGTGAACCATTCTTCTAAAGGCAGCAGGCTGTCTGGAGTGACCATTGTTTGCCATGATGGGATTAAGTTCCTCCCTGATTAAGGACATTCATCCCACAGAGTGTCTGGGCTTCAAAGACTTCCAATGCGGCACCTAGCTGGGGAGGGGACACACTGCACTCTAATCTGATCCTGTCAGGTATAAACTCTGCGCGCTTCCCTCAATAAAGCAGATCTTGGTTTCCACCTCAACATTGGTGTCGTCTGATGATTGAGTGGTTAGCGTTCTGTCCTAATATATTGGTTCTGTTCAATAATTAGGCGGGTTTGGGCTGAGGACACTGGGATTCGGGTTCCAGCGGAGAGGAAGCTGATTTATGACGGAGGTACCCAGTCGGGGTACCAGGAGGTCCGTCACAATGGACTACAAGCTCAATACAAATTAGTAAACTAAACATGAGATTGTAGTCCATCCCAGGAGTGAGCTTGGAGCGGTGATTACTTTACAACACACAGGGACCAAGGGGAACAAAAGTAGCCCCCCCTCCAGAAGGAAGGACAGTGTCAGCACCAATTCAGAGATGATTTGAGGATATGGTGGGGATACAGGTGCCATACACTCATGTCTAAACGAACATCACATGACCACTCCCCCCATCTTGGACAGTATACAAGTAGATATCATCTGCTTTTAGGGGACAGCCTCTAAATGAGCCAATCATCTCCATTGACGGCTCGGGCCATAATTGGATACCTGAAGTGGCAACCCTAGTAAAACAAATTCTAAATTCCTACAATAAAAATAACTTATACCATGATTGAAAGTAACGATGGAATTATAACGGAACACCTTCAAGCACCTTTATCTGTAATAATATTGTATTAAAATACAATGGAATGAATGATGTCCGAGTTCCCTATTAATGAAATGGTGATTTAGGGTGAGAACCTGGGAATAATAATGGCCACATTGAAGCTATGTTAAAAACAAACCGAATGCAGTTCAAATCTTTTCGATGCTTTATATCCCCTTGATGCAGTAATAATGGATAATTAGTATTAAGATAAGCTACTCTGTGTAATGAGAAATTAATAGAGTAGTTCATAGGTTCCATATTAGATGTCAATGACATGCTTTGGTTTGGGGCGGCTGAGACGAGACTAATGGGATGAAGAAGCTGAATGGTTGGATTGTTGCATGAGGTTTTTGGGGAGGAGGGGGGGGGGGTCAAGTTTGGGGGGGGGGGGGGGGGGGGGGTCAAAATTGCCGCAGTTCCTACCATGAAGAGGCAGGTGTGGGGTTCCTAGAAAAAGTAAGAAGAGCCACAGGTTTATCCAAGGCCCAGTCCATGTGGTAAAGTAAGGGTGGAGCGGACTCGGAGGTCAGAAACTTATGGGAAGGGGATCCGGAAATGGGGAAATACACAGAGACACAGAAAGACAGGGAAGGGATAGGGCAGCCTGTGGACCTCAAGCAATATACACATCTGCAGAGCTCAATTACCTCCAGGTAAGTTTTCTCTTAAAAATGGGGCAACTTGTCATCTAACAGCTGTTGCAATTGACGGACCTCCTTTCTGTGTTACTGTTTTAAAATAAGCTGGCTGATCTGATAGGTTATTTAATTAGCTGACAGACAACTTGACATTATGCATAAGAAGAACGGGTATGGTTCTTTCAATAGGAACAGCTGTCAATAAATGACTTTGTTGCATCTTTGTCAAGAGACAATTTAGCTGGCATGTTTGTAAATGGATGTAGGGAACCTTGCAGATCCTACACATCCAAGGATTGGGTGTTGGCCATTGGCTGGCGTATCATGCTAGGATTTGTAGCCCGTCAACCACAAGGAGGCCACAGGCTGTCCAACACTAGAATAGAGGACAAGGTCAGGGGCAAACACACGTTATACAGGAGACAGAAAGGCATCTCTCACCTTCATCCTCTGACACATCCAGCATCTCGTCCACTGTTTCAGGAAAGCTCATCCTGTGCCTTTCGTTGGCTAGCTGTGGGAGAGACAAAGTCATACACCGATCTCTCCCAACTAGCCCTTCTGCCCATTGACTGCTGATACCTTACACAATTCCCCCCCACCACCATCCAAATTATAATACCTTCCGCTGTCCCTGGCAGCATTTTAAAACTGAACTCCAGGCAAAGTGAACTGATTTACCTGTCTAACGGTATATCATTTTCTTCAACCAGTCTTGTGATTAAGGCACCCCTACTAGACAACATTGTTGGTCCTGCATCTCTGTGAAGGCTACACTAAAGTCAACCAATACGGCTTTGTGCAGGGCCCACCCTTAACATGTGATTAGAAAAGGAAGGAGCAGCCGCACATTGATAAAGTCTTCTCTCTGCTCTCCCCTCCTGTAACCATGTTCACAAACAGTGGTGTGCAGTGCAAGGCAATACAGCCCTCATAGTGCTGATCTCCACTCTTTAAGTCTGAGAGCTGCTGTGCAAGGAATTGCACAAGACATATTATAACAGAATTAGGTACATATGCTTTACAACTGCACTTATTTTCTAATGAATACATAACTGGATTAAATGGTGTTTTTTTAAATTTCTGCCTGGAGTTCAGCTTTTAATAAATCAAAGCCCTCACTGCACATAAGTAGACTTCTAGGTAATTATTTCACTATAAAGGGGCTTTTAAAATATATCTAAAGCCAAAACAATGCATGCTCCATCACAACCCTTGCTCTATTGCTCCAAAAGAGTGGGACATCTATGTTTGGTGGAGCACGTGACCACCCCCATGTGACAGTGCCGTGCTGAAGTTGCTGATCGGTAGGCTCGAACACTGTCATTTACAAATGACAGTTTCCCCGGTGAGCTCTAATGCAGAGCAGAGCTCGGTGAGTTTCACATGCTGTATTGAAGGGTTATTTGGAGACACTGGGGTTGATTTACTAAAGACAAATGGACTGTTCACTTTGCAAGGGAAGTTTCCCCTTAGCGTGGTAAGCGAGGCGCAGCTTTGTTTACTTCCATTAACCAATAATGTGCAAGCAAAAATACAGTTTTTTTTCATTTTCCTTGCACATGATTGGGTATTCTAAGGCTGACCATACACTGATTTTTTTTTTTCGTTCAACCCACAGACCGAACTAAAACAATAGACCCAGTTCCTCCATCAACACTAATAACATGTTGATCGAGGAATCCCGCTATTCACATTGTATTCTGACAGGTGCCACCGGCCCCTGTCAGAATACCCGACTAGAGCGGGCAGCTCTTTGGCTGCTGGCTCTGATCGATCGAAGATATTTCCAACCAGCTCCTTCGATCAGCTGATCAAGGGATGCTGATCGAAAGGGTGCTGACAGTGGCACGCACTGTGTGAATTTCGTCCGGTTCCTCAAAAGCCGGCCGAAATTGGAACAGTGTATGGGCACCTTAAAGTGACATTAAAGTATAATTTTTTTCCCCTCCCCCCAATGTTAGTATAAGCACTTACCTTAAATGAAGTCTCTTAATACGAACTTCTTCTTTCCTGTAGTTTTCAGCAATCTCTCCAGCGCTGCTGCGTGTCTCCGATCCAGCGCTGACTCCTCTGTCCTTGCTGTCACTTCCGATCCAGCGGTGTCTGCATGCGGGTGCAGGCGTCCATATACTTACCTTGCATCTCTGCTCGTCTCCCGGCCGAAAATCTGAAGTGCGCATGCACTTGAAAGGCTGAAATGTACCAAATATATACACGGCCTGTCCAAAAGCAAAAGTCACACACTGTAATATTTCGTTGGACCACCTTTAGCTTTGATTACGGCTCACATTCTCTGTGGCATCGTTTCGATAAGCTTATACAATGCCACAGCATTTATTTCCATCCCGAGTTACATTAATGGGAGAGTCAGATCACTGTGTAAAGTCTTCTCCAGCACATCCCAAACATTCTCAATGGAGTTAAGGTCTGGACTCTGTGGTGGCCAATCCATGTGTGATAATGATGTCTCATCTGAACCACTCCATCACAAACTGAGCCCGATGTATCCTGGCATTGTCATCTTGGGATATGCCCAATGTGTCATCAGGGCAGAAAAAAGTAATTGATGGAAATGTCTGGCCATTCAGTATATTCAGGTAGACAGCTGACCTCATTTTTTTGGGCACATGACGTTGCTTAACCTAGTCCTATTATCCAGTGGAAGGCTCTGACCTCCTCTCTGTTTAGTTAAATCTAGGTGATGACTTTCTTTTTGGACAGGCCGTGTATATGAGCATTTTATACAAATTAAAAATACAAATATTGAATTGGACCTTTTTAGTACCATATTGAAGTATGTATTTTTTAATTGTAATGTACTTTCATTTATTGTAGTGCCTAATGAAGATTTTTTTCAGACTGGTGGAAGTATATCTTAAGTTGAATAACCCCAAAAAGCATTGGCTTTAATGATGAAATAAATACCTCTTCCTTTCCTGTCCAACTGGAAGTAAAGGAAGATCTCTCCAATGTGAGGGAAATCTCCTCTGCGTGGTACTCAACTGGTGGGTCATGACTCAAAAGTGGGTCGCAACTCCATGTTCAGTGGGTCACCATGTGCCTTCAACTGTGCTAGGTGAGAGGCTCCTCATCTTCTCTCTAGCACAGCACTGTCAGTTCTCATGCCAAGCAGCCATTCAAAATATGCTGGGGGTATGGCTGCAAGGGAGCTCCGTCCATATGTGCATTGCATAGAGCTCCCTTGTGTTCCCTGTAGAAAAGCCTGGACCGGAGTGACGTCCATTTCTGGCTCCCAAGACCTCTACAGGGCCTACAAGGGAGCTGTACAAGCAATGCACATATGGATGAAACTCCGTCACACCACAGCAGCCCATGCTGGACTACTAGTTCTGGTACGGGAGGTGCGTTGTGTTGGCAGTGGCCGCCCACAGTTTGATCACCCGCACTGGAACATGCGGTAATGCAATGCGTTTCAGGTTGGTGTGACTCAGATCGCGACTTAATGACCAAGGACAAATGTGGGTCTTGAGGTTACACAGGTTGAGAACCACCGTCTTAGATAGCTGTCACTGGAACAATTATACCCATTGGAAGATTTCTATTGCTGCTCTGATGATGGTGGTCACCAGGACAAATCTAGAACTAAAATACAATTTTTGGCTTTAGATACACTTTAAATTGGGAGTTAAGTTAATTGTCGCTCATACTGTAGAACATGTAACTTGAATTCAGATAACAATTAGTTTGTTGTGCTGCTTTCTTCTCACAGACAGGATGTCATTTTTTCTGTAACTTGGCCTTTCTCAGTTCCTGGCTATGTGATAATGAGAAAACACTGACTGGCAGAGGAAGAGGTCCTGCTATCAAGTCTTCTAAGTCAATACTAACGCCATAAGATTACAACAAACAGATGAACCCATCTGGTATTGTTTTGGAATGGGTGACAACAATGTCATCTCCCTAAATGTTCTTCACCAACCTGTTGTAAAATCCCAGCAAGTCTCCAACCACTTCCACGTGTCACTCACCTGACCCCGTAGTTTTCCCCCTGTCTCCAGCCAAAGTAAGTTAGCTCCCCACTTGTGACTCACCTGCATCTGGGGTCCATCTGTCACCAGACTCAGAACATCTGTCACTGAGATGTATCCTAGTCGCTTTGCAATTGCCAACGGGGTGATTCCATTCTGCAGAGGCGAGGTCACAGGAAGGTGCAACAGGGCAATGGGGAGAAGAATGGGGCATGAGAGGCCAAGAAGAAGCAGTTGATGGGCGATGAAGCAGAGTGACAGAAGGCAAGACGGGCAACAAGGAAAAAACAGGACAGGGTGATAAAATACAGTGACAGTCAAAATAAGTGACAGACCACAAGAGGCCACAACAACAGAACTAGAGTGTGAGACAGACATCAGACAGGACATATTGACAGGACATGATGTGACTGGCAGCTCTCACCATGCTAGCCTGGTTGGGACAAGCTCCATTCTTCAACAGAAGTGTGACAATGTCTGTGTGTCCCTGCTGAGCTGCTTGATGGAGGGAAGTGAAACCCAACTGTAGAAAAAATACAATCAATTAGCAACTGACCTTTGCATTAGTACTTGTGTAGATGGGCAAATGCAGCATGGTTTCAGGTACATTAAGCTAGCTTTAGAGATCCTTCCTTCACTTTTGCTTCTGACCTTCTTCAGAACTCCTTTTGACCTGCTTCAAGCTGCTCTAAGCTACTTTTGCAATCCCATTACTTTGTATTTGTGGAAAAGTTGTCGCCAGCCAGGAGGAAGATTATCAATATAAAGGTGTTCCCTTTCCTGCTGGAAAAACGTTGGCCTTTTGCTTTTAAAGTTCGGTCTTCCATGCAGTTATGACCTGCCAACATACTCCCTATTTTTCATGTTTCCGTATTGCTCCAGTTTATGAGACCGGGTGCCGCTGTTTTCCACTTATGGAGAAATGGCTCCTGGTCACATAACCTCCTTCATGTAAGTTACTTAAGGGAGCAGTAGCGTGCTGATGTCACACTTGGTCAAGACCCATCCATAGCCCCTGACTGTCCCAACATCAGCGTATTTCCCATTGAATCATGACAAATGTAGTCTCAGGTAAGCAGATTGGATGTGATGTGTGGTGCCTGCAGAGATTTCCCCCTGACACCCTACTCCCCCCCTGGTGCCCAGGCACAGGTCAATTTAGAAAAGTTTAATGATGGAACAATGCAGAAAATAGGATGGAAAATAAATGAGAATAAGAGCTGACATTCACCAAAAAATGGCAAACTGGCCCTTCATAAATGGCCCCCAATGTCACTACCTGTTGACCATATTTATTGTATGGTATAATTAGATGATATTAAGACATACTCTTATAAATAAGAATCCCTTTGTGTTTATAGATTCAAATTCCACAAAAAAAACCTTGGCTGCTAAAGAAAAATCTTGAACGCTGCCATAGCAAGTGTACGGTGCTCACCTTGGTGGTGGCATTTACATTGGCTTGATGTTGCAGAAGAAACTTCACCATCTTGATGTTGCCATAATGACAGGCAACGTGTAGCGGAGTGAACCCCATCTATGGGAAAAGAAAAGTCATAGGGCATTAAATCAAGATTACTCAACACATAATACACTATAATAATGACTTCTTCCATCAAGTGCTGCTGTCCTAAGGCCCATGTCATACGAGTGATCCTGTTGCTGGTGACAACTTGCCAGTTATAGTAGTGTAGCGCCCATCACCTTTTGTGATGTGACTACCATGCCTTTAGTGATATGCCAGGGCTGTAGACAGCCTGGCTGGATTTGTAGCAGAAAGTACATGGTTAATTCCCAGGTGTCTAACCTTGTCTGTACCCCCCTGAGCGGAGTGAGACTCTGTCATATTGGGGGACAGCCAATAGGAGACACTGTGATATGTGTACAGTACAGCAGCCAGTCACTGGGCTTCTTGCAGCAAGTGGTGTCTGCTGACAAAGGGTACATATATGGGTGGGAGCTGCCATGTGCTCTCTCTCTCGCCTGGACCAGCCATGGATTAGGGCTGGGTCCTGTTCAGCCTGCCCCCCAGGCTAGGCCAAGGCCTGGGGGTGGGAATTGGCTGAGCGGTTGAAGGAGGGGTTTCCTTGGAGGCTTACAGTCTGGAGCATGCCTGAAAGATGGAAGAACCAGGACCAGTGACCTTGAAGTGCCTGGGATTCAGATGGACTTCAGAGCGGGGTGAGTGTTCTTTCATGGATTGTGGAGATGTATTCCCAGTAAAGATAAGATCTGGTGAGTCTGGAGCTAAGGAGGCCTGTACACCTAGACCCTATACCCTCTCTCCCACAGAGTATGTTCAATAAACTGTTCAAGTAGCATCATAATCCTGAAGTGGACATCAATTTATGGGCGGTTAGTGCTAATGTGTGCGGCTGAAGAATCAACCCCTAGACTGACTAGATGAGGACCGGGCAATCAGCGGCTCCCTACGGGGAGTTATCGCTACAGTACTGTTAACATACCACCTTTGCTATGGACTTGCTCCCTAGGCAGCCAAACCAGCGAGGTGTCCCTTCCTTGCTAGCGAGTGAGACTTGGCAGTGTTCTGGGCCAGCGAGGTAAGTGGAAGCCTCTCCTTGGTGATTCTGTTTTTCTAGTTGAGTGCCACCATCACCAAAATTACTCATCTGGCCTATACTAAAACTCAACCGTAGGCAAACAACTAATACACAGTTAAAGTAAAACATGTATATGGAAGCTGCTTTACCTGCCAATTTGCATCTCTGTCCTGACAGTTTTACAGCTCTGACAGTTAGCACAGCCCGGTTGGTGACCAGTCTTTTTTCTAATACAGGGAAGGTGAAGGACTCACTCACAGGCATGTCAGGTGAACCAGCTTTAGAGACATTTTATTTGGATCTGATATCACTAAAATTGTTTCACCAGAGAAGACCTGACCTTCCTATTCACCCACTTCATACTGGTATGCTTTTTAGATCAATGCAAAAACAAATCATCACATTCTCAAATAATTCATCCCCTCACAGCTACCTCATGTATCATTTCCCCCTCCTCTTTTAGATTGTAAGCCCTCAGGGGCAGGGCCCTCCTTACCATCTTGTCTTGAATTGTATTGTAATGTCTTCCTTACATTGTAAAGCGCTGTGCAAACTGTTGGCGCTATATACATACTATGTAATAATAATAATAATAAATCACAATATAGTAATCTGTATTATTCTATTTTGCTGTATTTTGATTGAGTGGGTTCTTTCATGATACAATACAAGAAGTCACCTCTCTATGTGGCTGTAGTATAAAATAAAGCCCACAGACCAACAAGCAGAAGGTGATCACCCTGGCAGAAGTCCCATGAAAAACTACCAAGAGAGGCCTGGCACTGGTAACTGATGGACATTCTGGTGGTTTAGAAGTGTAAGGTAAGAGGAAACATCTGAGAGACTTACCCGTGTTTCAGAACCCACAGAGGCATCATGGGACACCAAGAGCTCTGCTATGTTCATGTGACCCTCTTGACATGCCAGGTGGAGAGGAGTGAGGGTACTCTGTGAATGGTAAGAAGCCATGGTAATTAATTTAAATGAAAGCAGCTGTCAGCATATAGATAACTTTCTGTGCCTGGATTTGGCCCCTGCTAGGTTCTGCCCTGGGACTGTGGGTTTTACAGTCACATTTGTATTTCTCCTGTATCCCTTCTCCAGCACACACACATTGGTCTTTCCTCTGTATCCCTCCTCCAGCACACACACACACACATTGGTCTTTCCCCTCTATCCCTCCTGCGGCACACATACACATTGGTCTTTCCCCTGTATCCCTCCTCTAGCACACACACACATTGGTCTTTCCCCTGTATCCCTCCTCTAGCACACACACACATTGGTCTTTCCCCTGTATCCCTCCTCTAGCACACACACACATTGGTCTTACCCCTGTATCCCTCCTCCGGCACGCACACACATTGGTCTTACCCCTGTATCCCTCCTCCGGCACACACACACATTGGTCTTACCCCTGTATCCCTCCTCCGGCACACACATTGGTCTTTCCCCTGTATCCCTCCTCTAGCACACACACACATTGGTCTTACCCCTGTATCCCTCCTCTAGCACACACACACATTGGTCTTACCCCTGTATCCCTCCTCTAGCACACACACACATTGGTCTTACCCCTGTATCCCTCCTCTAGCACACACACACATTGGTCTTTCCCTTGTATCCCTCCTCCTGCACACACACACACATTGCTCTTTCCCCTGTATCCCTCCTCTAGCACACACACACATTGGTCTTACCCCTGTATCCCTCCTCTAGCACACACACACATTGGTCTTTCCACTGTATCCCTCCTCTAGCACACACACACATTGGTCTTTCCCCTGTATCCCTCCTCTAGCACACACACACACATTGGTCTTTCCCTTGTATCCCTCCTCTAGCACACACACACATTGATCTTACCACTGTATCCCTCCTCCGGCACACACACACATTGGTCTTACCCCTGTATCCCTCCTCCGGCACGCACACACATTGGTCTTACGCCTGTGTCCCTCCTCTAGCACACACACACATTGGTCTTACCCCTGTATCCCTCCTCTAGCACACGCACACATTGGTCTTACCCCTGTATCCCTCCTCTAGCACACACACACATTGGTCTTTCCCCTGTATGCCTTCTCTAGCACACACACACACATTGGTCTTTCCCCTGTATCCCTCCTCTAGCACACACACACATTGGTCTTTCCCCTGTATCCCTTCTCTAGCACACACACACACTTTGGTCTTTCCTCTGTACCCCCCCTCTAGCACACACACACATTGGTCTTTCCCCTGTATCCCTCCTCTAGCACACACACACATTGGTCTTTCCCCTGTATGCCTTCTCTAGCACACACACACACATTGGTCTTTCCCCTGTATCCCTCCTCTAGCACACACACACATTGGTCTTTCCCCTGTATCCCTCCTCTAGCACACACACACATTGGTCTTACCCCTGTATCCCTCCTCTAGCACACACACACATTGGTCTTACCCCTGTATCCCTCCTCTAGCACACACACACATTGGTCTTACCCCTGTATCCCTCCTCCGGCACGCACACACATTGGTCTTACCCCTGTATCCCTCCTCCGGCACACACACACATTGGTCTTACCCCTGTATCCCTCCTCCGGCACACACACACATTGGTCTTTCCCCTGTATCCCTCCTCTAGCACACACACACATTGGTCTTTCCCCTGTATCCCTTTTTTAAAGCTGAATTAAAATTTCGAATTTTATTGTGACACACAGTTCATTACCTTGTTGCCTAGATGTACATTTCCTTGCTTGCTGAGTAGCAATGTCACCATGTCCACATGACCCTCCTGAGAGGCAAGATGGAGGGGGGTGACACCTTGTAGGGATTGGGCATTACACGTTGCACCAAACTGCAGCAGGGCCCGCGCCGTGTCAACTGAGCGCTGCTTTACGGCCATGTGCAAGGGTGTGTATCCATTCTGCCAAAAAAACACATTTTAGAACTTGTTTGTTAACCTGACAAAAGCTGTTCAACATCAGCAGCAAATGGCCATTTATCAGTGTGTCAGGAAGCAGGGGGTGTTGACCCTGCTTGAGGGGCATGAGCACGGCGCATGGCACGTGGCCCCCTCGCAGGGGCAACACCCCCTGCTTCCTGACATAGTGTAACTTAATACATAACTCCCCAACAGACCCTGCTTTTGCTGGATAGTCATAGTTCCCAGACTCCTAAAAAATATAGCCTAGAAAAAAGGGAGAAGTTTGCCCATAACTGGGCGAAATGGGATTGGATTCCAGTGGGTTCAACTTATGATAAAGCCTTTTTTTCTGCCCCTAATTTAGCTTTGCTTACTTTGTCTAAGTCTGACCATTACAGTGACCTGGATATGTCCACCAATGTGTGGAAACTAACATGACTTTGTAGACATCAGACACTTTGCGGTGGGTGGAAATATCTGCACTTGTCCACCTCCAAGTTGCGGTGTTCTCAGAGGTTATCCACATAAGTTGGTCTACCGTGTGCCTAAGTCAACCTGATCTGGTTTTACAAGTGCCCAAGGTGACAACAGTGCTGAAGAGTGTGGTGTTTTGTGATGGGAGGGGCAGTTATTATTCTTGTCTTTGGGGGAAGTCAAAGGTTTGTGTACCACCCTTTGATTAGCATCCATGGGAATCCACAGGGTCACAGGAAATATTCTGAAGAACAAAACAAGTGCCTGGAATTTAACACTAGGTGACTTAAAGTGACTTAGACTCCGTGTCATTGGGGCATCCAACTACATACCGTGAATTCTAAACTATCAATAATGGGTTCTTGTCCACTCATGAGCTTCTCGTGTTGCATGTCCTGCATCTGTAGAATTAGCTGGCTACGCCTTTAAACTTGTCTGACGGCCTGATTTGGCTCATAACCTCTGCTGTCAACATACCTACATGGATACTGGGTCTGCTATCTTTTTTTCTGATGTTGCTTTTCCTAGCTACAACCCTTTAAGTTTCTACTCTTTTGAACCAAGAGCTCCCAATCATTACAAGCTGGTGTGTATGTATTAAATGCAGATGGACTTACCCGTGCTGTACAGTGTGGAGATGCCCCTTTATTCAGGAGAAGACGTACTATGTTAAGGTGATTGTGATAGACAGCTACATGGAGAGGGGTCAGGCCAGTCTTTGTCCAAGAGAAAGAAAGACAGAACAAGTCAGAGAGAAATCACTTCACAACTAAATAGCCATGTTAGATGTTGCTTTCATTTCACACAAGTTGTCTTAAAGTATAATACAAAGGCTCCTTTATTAACAAATAAACACCCATACATTTTAATTCAAGACTCATCTCTTCAGGGAAGTCTATCCTGCCTCAAACTAACTACTGAGCTATCACTTTCTCATAAAATTCATCCCCACACAGCTACCTCCTCAGACATCACTGGCCCCTCCCTTTTAGATTGTAAGCCCTCAGGGGCAGGGCCCTCCTTACCATCTTGTCTTGAATTGTATTGTGATTGTAATGTCTTCCTTATATTGTAAAGCGCTGCGCAAACTGTTGGCGCTATATAAATCCTGTATAATAATAATTTAGTAATAGAGGAATGCTAGTGGGCTTATCTGCTTGTTGGCCCGTTTCTGAAGGACTCCAGCAGAGGGGGTTCCATGGGGTCTGGAACCTACTGCTGTATTATCTTTAAAAGTGAAAATGAATTACCTAAAAGTGAGTCTACCCCAGCAGGTGAGGGAAATGGGAACTTCACGCACTGAGATTTCTCTAATGTGGTGTCCATGATACATAGGAGCTGAAGGGTCAAACTGGTGTTACCAGAGCTGTCCCTAAGGCATTCAACACCTGAGGTGATGCTGTTTTCAAGGGGCCAGATTTGTGCTGGCAGAGATTGATGACTGGATGGAAGGAGGCCTCGCAGTTGTTGTGTTGATTTGTGTTTGGAGGGAAAGGGACACCGGACCACCCTGTCAGCTGTCTGTCCGTCATCTCACCCAATTCACTGATATCACTGGTTGCAAAGAGCTCAGTGGGACACCAGCATGAGCGTCAGCTCCTGTCAACCTGTGATGCCAGTGAGCTGGGAAGAAGGAAGCCGCACAGAGCGTCACAGGTTACTAAATGGTCTTGGCAACTTAGGACGCTGTGGCTGCCCCACTGCTTAAACCATGTCTTTATGGAGCTGGCTTTGTGCACATTGGACAGTCATGCTGGAACTGAAAAAGGCCTTCACTAAACTGTTACCGCAAGGTTGCCCAATTGTGTAAAATGTCTTTGTATGCTATAGCTTTAACAGTACACTTCAATGGAAACACTTGAACTCAGTAATTTGGAGGGCCAATGACCATGTAGGTTGATGTGATGGTCAGGTGCCCGCAAACATTTGGCCACATAGTGTATTTACATGGGGCAGAGGTATTTATTCCGGTGTACTGACCCTTTAAAAAAACACCACCAATTTTAGAGTAATTCATTTAAGAAATACCCTTAAAGAAAACAGTAGGGGATGTCGTGCTTAGTGAATATTTCATACCAAGCCCTCTTCCCCTGAGACAAGACAAATGCAGACATTTCTACTCTTAACTTTCTACTCTGCAGGCAGGTCTACCAGGGGAACTTTCAAAGGAGGCATCCAATTAAGAGAAATATATAAATATGGTAATAGAAGAATAAAGTTTGATGGTATGTTACATTAATTAGGCATAGCTAATCATGTTTTGACCATTACACAAGCAGTGCTGGCTGGGTAAAAAGGATATTATTCACATTTACATATCTGATATTCTGAAGAGCTCATTCCATCGCCTAAAAGGGAAGCTCCGGCCTAGATACAAAATTATCAGTCAACTTAATAGTGTGAACTTGCTGCTACCTTTTTACTGGCTGCAAGCTCCAGAAATAAGTGCACATTGAAGATTACAAGCCAGATCCAGTCATCAGTTGTTGCACCACCATATATATAATGGTTACTTTTTTGCCCATAGCCCAAAGGAGCAGAGTCTTATCTGAGATAGACTTCATCTCCTGACAAAAGTCTGAGTATTTATGAGACATTATTTTCCTATAAATGTCCCACCAAAAAGTCTGCATTGTGCTTGAAATTATCTTTTCAGGGTGCATGTCTACACTTTTCGTGTCCTCTTGTTCCATTAGCATGAAATTCTTTTCTCCGCAGTGCAAATAGTAAATGGTAAAACTCACAGGGTCCATGAGGAGTACATCTGTCAGTGTATATGGGCATTCTGTGTCAACACATGAGGAATTTTAATAGAGGTAGACTCTATGACATAAAGTCGACTTAAAGGAGAACTATGGGGTCAGTGTTTTTCCCCATAGTTCTCCTTAGGGTAACGGGAGGACACAAACTAGCGTCCTCCCGTTACCCTAAGCTCAGTATACCGCGAGCTAAAGCTCGCGGGATACTGAGACGCCGCAGCCGGAGCGGATCCCGACGTGACAGGATCGAGAGGTGAGCGAACCCGGTATGTGTTCGCTCACTTCCCGATCTACTGAGCCGACCTGTGACAGTCTCATTGTCACAGGTCGGCTAGAACTATGAGGTGAGTGGAAATCACTCATCTCATAGTTCTCCTTTAAGGATTCAATTCTGGGTCACGTGAGATTGAGAAACTCTTACAAAAAATTGTTCTACACCATTGTAAATCTCTAATCTAACACCTATGCAGACATTATACCCAATGTGAATTTACAGTTAGCCATGCTGTCTGCCAGCAAAGGTTACCAAAAGCTAGTGTGCCATGCAGACACCATGTTCAACTTCATTTATCAAAGTATCTAAATAAATAACTGATTGCATTGCTACACAGTAACCGAGTGGTTGCAGTGGTTGTCAACTAACAGGGTATAGGGGACCTCAAATATGGCCCCTGATGTCTCCAAAGGGCTACAAATAATATTTATTACATGTAATGCTACAGTAGACTGTCAAAGACCTATGGGTTACTAGGGGAAATGGTCAGAGACTGTTCTACAGGAGTGGTGGGAGACTGAAGTCCTGCTGTAGGGGACAGTCAGAGACTAGGGACATGTTACATGAAACTGCTAGAATTTACAAATCAGTGCTACCATTATGGACTGTTGGGGCCTGCGGGCCACACCTTAAATACCAAAGACCTACATGTGTTGGGCACCAGGGTAGTGGCCAGTTAGATTGCATCCCCTACTGAAAGTTTGAATCTAACTGGTCACTAAGAGATAATACTGATAAATGAGGCAACTTTCTATGAAAACATTGCATTGACAGCCCTAGACATCCACAAACATTGTAAGGACAACAGGTGACCTTTTCCACCAAATCTAACTGATGCTTTTTAAGCCTATACAAGCATGAGATAGCAAGATAAGAAATACATGCCGTTTACTAGTGTAATCTTCTCCCTCTGCCTACAATATATATGTTAAAAGGAAAAGAATGGGGTTAAACCTAGACCCCTAATGCCCATACGATGTCACCAAAAATAGATTGTAATGTTCTGCTGAGCTCTCCCTGTGAAGCATAGACAATAACACATGAGGTATTGCAGTCACCTTGCCGGCACTGTTGCCGTGAGCTCCTCTCTCCAGTAGAAGCTCGGCAATCTGGATCTTCCCGTATTTGGCAGCCACATGGAGGGGAGTGAAACCTTTCTGAGGACAGAAAAGAGATGGGTTAGCAGAGGACTGAGGGCAAGGAGTCAGGAAGTTTACAGTTAAAACGACCTGTCAAAGAGAAGAAACACTGTAGGGATACATAGCAAGAGAAGTGTCTGTACTACAGACCCTACAAAGAGCCCAAAAGAACAGAACTTCATAATCTTCCTTTACTGAAAAAAAAACTGTAGGAACCATTGTATAGAAATATATTCAACACTACAGCTTCTTTTCCAAAACATATACTGAGATCCAGATGTCAGCCATGTTTGTAATAGGCAAGTTGAAATTGGTGCTGTGACAAACCTTATATAGAGACAAAGGAGAGAAAGGCAGCAAGCAAATGAAGAGACAGTTAGGGCAGATTCCCCTTTAATCAAACAAGAAGTCCAGACATATCACCCCTTTCTTATATCCCATCTTCCTGAGGGCTTCTCACCTGACTTACTGGCACTGCTGAACACAGTGGCTCAGTGGTTAGCAGTTCTGCCTTGAAGAACTGGGGGTCCTTGGTTTTAATGCCGGCCAGGACACTATCTTCAAGGAGTTTGCATGTTCTCCCTATGCTTGTTTGTCTTTCCTATGAGTACTACAGTTTCCTCCCACATTCCAAAGATATGCTGGAAGGGTAATTGGCTCCTGTCTAAGCTATCCTTTGCATGTACAGTATATGATATGCATATATCGCTTCTCTGCCTTTTGGCTAAGATCAAGTGTAGTATCTGTTCTTATCAGTTGCAGGAGTGGAGAGGAGCCGCTGTACTGGCCTTATGGCTGGTATGGCTGGAATCTGAGTAACCTGCCTGGTCATTGGGGTTCCTTAAAGGCCCTGGCTATAGGGAGGAAACCAAATGAGTGTCCACTCACATATAGAGTGGGGATATGGAATACTCCTCGGCACTGGGATCTGGCAGGACCCAATTCCTCCTGATTTGGATGAGTCTACCTCGTCTGGCCATGGGCTGGGGAGCAACGAAGCCTGTGGGGTTTACGCCCCCCTGGAGATGTGACCCAGGGGTGCTCGAGTAGCACTTTGGGTTTGGGACCCCACTGCTGCGAAAGGCATTTTGGCACGACACCTTTGCTTTTGTTGCACATCACCTCTTGGGCTAGGCCTTTTGACTGAATCCAGGGGTCATTTTTATTACCGGGCAGCAAGGCCTAGCCATTGTATTCACATTGGCACTCTAAATAATTTTTCTCACTATATGTGCACCTTTCACTATTTTTATGTGTTGTTCACTCCACTTCGGCTGGCCATGATTAATGGGTCCACCTGGTTTTGGCCAGGTGGGCACGAGTGCCTTGTCCCTGTCAGGAACCTTGCGGCCCGGGGGTTCAGGGATGGGCTCTGTCTCTTTGGGAGACGGACCCTTTAGATAGCATCCCTTCACATGCACCTTTTTTGTTCACTTTTTGGGTGTTTCGTAGCACGCTCCACGGGCTTAAAAAAAAAATGATGTATGCATATGAGCTGGTGAGACACATTGGCCCTAGCGAGTGTGTACACATGAGAGATAGGAGATTAGACTCTAAGCTCCATGAGGGCAGGGACTGATGTGAATGTGCGGTATGTGAAGCTCTGTATAAATTGTTGGAGCTAGATTAATGCCTACAAAAGTATAATCATCAGCATCAGGCCAGCAATGAATTCTCCAAGCCCCCTGCAGTCAAAGATGACGTTTCTGGCCACCGTCTCTAATAAAGAAGGCGATAGTGCTTTGAGGAACCATGGGTAGAGAAGTACGGATGGTACAGTAGGATACGGTCAGAAAAGGACATCAGGTGATGCACTTTGTTACCTTAGTCACGGAAGTATGTGCAGCTTGGTTATCCAGCAGAAGCTCGGCAGTTTGTGTGTGACCACTTCGGGCACTCAGGTGCAGCGGCGTATGCCCTGCCGTGGTAGGGGGGTCTGGGTGAGCTCCGTTTGATAACAGCAGGCGTACCATGTCCAAGTGCCCAGAGCGGGCTGCACAGTGTAGGGGGGTCTGGTCGTCCTGTGTGATTACAAATAACAGAGAGCACATAAAAACAGGTATCTGAGTAGTGGATGAAAGGGAAATGTTCATTAGCCCAGTTCAGACTCAGACATGTACTGGACAATAGTTTCGATCCGATTCCATTACAAGGAAAGTAAGAGAAGATATGAATTGGTTCTATCTAGTGATTTAAATAATTGCTTACCATAAAGCAATATCCTACCCAGGGCCATAACGACATAATCACGAGGCCCAATAGCAAAAATACAATGGGGGCATCCAGTGGCGGAACTACCACCATAGCGACCGGTGCGGTCGCTATGGGGCCCACGGCACTGGGGGGGCCCGGATCCCCGCTGCTCTCCCCCGCTTATATGGGCAGAGGCAGCGGGGATCCAAAAAAAAATGGACGGCGGAGGAGCCGCTGCCGTCCTGAAACTGACAGGAGGACAGCGGCTCTGATCTCCTCCCCGCCTGACGCTCGTGATCGATCGGCAGGCGGGGGGGAGAGCCGACCCGCTGTCCTCCTGTCAGTTTGAGGACGGCAGCTGCTCTGTACGTGGCCGAGCAGAGGATCGGTAAGTATCATTGATATTTACCGGTCCTCCGTGTGCAGCACATACACTGGAGTGATTGACCGATCACTCCTGTGTTTGCAAATAACTGGGGACACATAATACTACAGGTGAAACTCGAATAATTAGAATATCGTGCAAAAGTAATTGCAGTAAGTGCTGCAAAAGGGGCCCAAACCAAGTACTGAGTACATATGCATGCTTGTACTTTTCAGAGGTCCGATATTGTTCTATGTACAATCCTTGTTTTATTGATTGCATGTAATAATCTACTTTTTTTGAGGTTGTGGATTTGGGGTTCTTGGGGTTTTCATGAGCTGTAAGCCATAATCATCACAATGATGACAAATCACGGCTTGAATTATCTTGCTTTGCATGTAATGAGTCTATCTCATATATTAGTTTTACCTTTTAAGTTGCATTAGTGAAATAAATGAACTTTGCACGATATTCTAATTATTCGAGTTTCACCTGTATGTGTCCCCAGTCATGAATGAACAGGAGGTGATTTACATTCTCAATGGGGAGAAGCAGTACAGAGGCTCCTCCCCATTGAGAATCTGCTTGATAGTAAATATCTTACTATCAGCAGTTTGTGAATGAATGGGAAGCCTCTGTACTGAGTGCTTCCCATTCACTGAGTGCTGAGGCTGCAGAAAAAGACATTGAGGACTCTGTGTGTGGACTCTGTATCCTCAATGTTTCCTTCATTTTTTTTATAATCCCCCTTTCCTCAGCCTCTCATTGGTGAGGCAGTATTAAAGTGTTAGGCCTCATTCAGGCGCCATTCACACCAGGGTGGAAGCGTTTCACCGTGGTTTTGATTTTTGAAAGAGCAATTTTCAGCGCTGAAACGCAATTAAAAACGCTCAAAAATGTGCTGATCAGCGTATTTCTATTAAAATGGGGCGGGGGGGGGGGGGTGGTTGTGGGGGGGCCTTAAAATTTTTTGCTATGGGGCCCTGGGATTTCTAGTTACGCCCCTGGGGGCACCCCTGAAGACCTCTCTTTGAGCCGCGAGTAACTATATTAAAATCCCATAGACTCCTCTTGTGCATCTGAAGTTGTGCTGTCACAATAAGTGCATAAAAATATGACACAGTACATAGCCACAGTTAATATTCATATTAATGTGAAGTGAGAATTCACATAGGTAATATTCCTTAAGCCATGCATTATAGCAGTTGTATAGCTGGTTATTATACTGCCATCTTGTGGGCATTTTGGTTATTGCTCCACTTTTTCTGTGTTCCCTCCCATTTATGATGCATTTCCCCTTTCTTCAAGAACTAGTCGTTTAGTGTCATGGCTGCCTATAGCAGGACCACAGGTACATGCTAGCTTGGAAACATTATCATCCTTGACCTCCACATACCATCTGTTCATTCATCTGATGTATCCTGTTGTCTGATGTAACCTGCTGCATACAATAAAGCTTTTTGTGGATGAGTATTTGGTGAGTCCAGCTATCTGATGGGGATTGTCCGCAGTGATTATATCTGCTTAGACAGGCCAGGCATAGAGGTCTCAGCAAGGAATAAATCACTAATACAACGATCGGAGTCAGAATAGAAGTCATCTCTACACTGTGGACTTTACAGGGGATTAGCCTTGTCGTCAACTGCAGCCACTACAACCCTAAATGGTATAGTACTGTATTATCTTCACATGTTCCATGTTTAATTTGCCTTAACAACCTAATGGGCCCCTTTCCACCCCCAGGCCCCATAGCAGTCGCCTGGGCTGCTATGGCTATAGTTACACCACTGATAGTACCTCTCCTTAAGACCAGAGTTCAGCCATTAGAAGCAAACATGAGCATTGCATGTAAAGTTTAATTTTGAATGCCTGCACAGTCGGTTCACGTCTAACAGGTGGACAACATAGATTAATGGCTTGGGGAAAAAAGACATTTTAAAGTGCACTTTTCACCCTTGCAAAATGGAGTCATCCACTGTGGCACAATCCTTAGCCAACTCCATTGGGACCAATAATGTTAACATGCCATGACCAGTTTGTCTCTAATCCCTATTAGGCCAGCCAGCCCTGGATACTCCAACAGGAAGGGGGTGCAAAAAGGACAGAACCCTCAACCTATTATTATTATTATTATTACATAGTATTTATATAGCGCCAACAGTTTGTGCAGCGCTTTACAATATAAGGAAGACATTACAGTTACAATACAATTCAAGACAATAATAATAATAATAATAATAATAATAATAGATAATTAATAATAATAATAATTCATCCCCAATAATACTCATTGGGGATGGGGGAGGTGCACTTTGTCTTTTTGCCTTGAATGCTAAAAGACCTTGCCCCAGCACTGGTTAAATCCCCTACAATAGTGCAAACAAAATGGCTGCCTCTGTAGTGACCGGGTCACAGTTCGGTACACCGGTTGGTTTAAAGTATGGAGTTTGCCTTAAAAGCTCCTACTGTCTACACAGAGTTTCCTTTCACTTCCTGTCCCTGTGACACCTGTATAAAAAATCTGGGGGTTCTGTTGTCACCAGGACAGGAAGGTTCTGAACTTCTAATCCATCCAGACTCTTTGCCTGGGTCCCTATTGGAGAAATTGGCATCACTTCCTGCCCTGACAGGAAGTGAAGCGTAATCTTAAAAAAAAAAAAGACAGACTGCAATAAAATGCTGACCAGGGTTCTAACCCTTCATTGCTCAATCCAAAGCAAAGTAAAAACGTTTTTGGCTGGAGTTGGGCTCTAAGTGCATTAAAGTTTCCCAATGTTTCCCTCATTCTCCTTACCTTGGCTCTGGCGTTCACCTTTGCTTTGTTTTGTAGTAAAAACTCTGCCACATCTGTGTGAGCTGCACGGGCCGCCATGTGCAATGGCGTCTCTACTTTCTGTAACAGACAAGAAACTTACAGTTTATGGTGACATACAGAACAAGTATGTGATGATACATGTTGGGTGGAGGTAAGCCTGGAGCTGTGCCAGCTGTATATATCATTCTAGCAGAGATAAGGGAAAATTGAGTTTTCATTTCCCAGAAATTTTGGCAAAAATTGGAAGATTTCATTGACATTTAACCATTTGGCAAATGCATTGGAGTTATTTAGGAAGGGAAACTAAAGCGGACCTTCACCTTCATTTTAATCTTGCTCTAATGTTATTTATTGCCCCCACCTTTAACATTATCGATATATATGAGTGGTTTCATAATTATTTTGCTTTCTCCGCCCACTTCTGTCTTTCTTGCCCAATGAGAAAACGGCATACACTATACTGTCTGCAGATATCCATATACTGTATCCGTCCATATATCCCAGGAGTGTATGGATACTTTTTTGGGGGGCCATTTTCTTTCCTTCTGACAGCCCAACCTCATCAAAATGGTTGCTGCACTGAGTGCTGAGTTTGCAGGATCTCAATGCACCACATGGGCAGGGAGACTTCAGGTAGTTCCCCGAAATGAATGGAGCAGGCTTCAGCTGCCCCTACTACAGATGGCCACCAGCACAAGTGCCATGTGGGTCATAAAAATAAAAAATGTATACAATATGTCTGTGAAGGTTCTCATTCATCATTGCGTTGGCACTGCTTTGCTACAAAACTGAGCATGCTGGTAGTAGGAGGGGCTACCCTGGGTCAACCAACTGTTTTTTTGTTACCAGTGTCAACTACTCCTGTAGGTGGCGATATAACCCAAAGGTGACTGACTTTCTACGGCCCTCAATGGATGTGAAAGAAATCAGTTTTGGCTGGACTGACCCTTTAACAGCATACATGTAAAGAAGAACTTTGGGAAAATCACAAACTTACCCTTGAAGTGGGACTACTACCCCCTTAAGTGCTCATTTTTACTTACCTGCTCCCCGGTCCAGCCGGCTCCCTCCAGGCTTCTAGACCAGTCCCCACAATCTCTTCTCCCCTGGGCTCCAGCAGTCTAAAGAAAGCTGACGTCATCACATCTTATGTAGGTCCATTGACCAGCATTAGACATGAGGGACATCCCACAGCTGGAGTGGAGGAGAAGAGAGCTGAGCGCCGAATGCCATAGGACCAAGAACCAGGTGAGTAATACAGATTTATTTGCGCCCCTTAGACAAAATGAGCAAGGGTAAGTTTGTGCTTTTCCCAGAGTTCTTCTTGAAAGAAACACTAAACTCAGCAGTTAAATCTTAAATGCGTTCAAGTACCCTAATTATTAACAGCAATGTATCTTTTTTGTGTATCACTCGGCTGTACATCCTCCAATCATCTCTGAATTGGTGCCGACACTGTCCTTCCTTCTGGAGGGGGGCTTCTTTTGTTCCCCATGGTCCCTGTGTGTGTTGTAAAGTAGTCACCGCTCCAAGCTCGCTCCCGGGATGGACTACAATCTCAATACAAATGAGTAAACTAAACATGAGATTGTAGTCCATCATGGGAGGATCTACAGCCCAGTGATACACAAATAAGTTTAGTGTCACTTTAAGGATTGTATGACCAGCTGAAGCCTTCTGCTTTCTTACATTCACTGAACATCTGGCTGATAAAGTGCCATTTGTTTAAATATAGCTGCCTAGGAAATGTCCAGACAATGCCCAACTGTGTACAGATGCTGTGAAGGCTCTGCAATGTGACCTGAGGAAGCTGATGGCAGCAAAACACTTTTCCCTGATAGAATATACTTTTAGAAGACATCTGCAGCACCCTGCCTCCTTTTCATGGTACTGAGAAGATATGTAGCAGATGTGTAGTTTAGTTCTCACCACACTGAACACATTGGGTGATGCTCCTCTCTGCAGCAATGTTTTCACGATGGGTAGATGTCCCATGAAGGCAGCAACGTGGAGAGGGGTGAGGCCGGACTATACAAGAGAAGGAGAGACAAAGATTACTTAGAGTAGAATTCAAGTTGACATGTTCTCCAAGATCTGAGTAGACACAACATGACGTCATTGGCCAAAAACTTCTTCTGTGCCCCTTGCTAACTATGGAAAGTCAAACTGGCCTTAGCTTTTAATGACTTCATGGCTAAGCTCCACCAACTTCGATCCCTCCATACCTCCCAACTGTCCTGCATTTGGAGGGACCTTCCTGCTTTTGGAACAAAATCACTCTGTTCCCTTTTCCTACTACATTGTCCCTCTTTTTGGTCTGATGTACAAATATCTATAAAAATATTCTGTTTAACTACCAAAAGTGTTATTCTGCACTAAAACCTTCATCTTATCTCTTCATTATCTTGTCTGCCATTTAGAAAAGCCAATATAAAGTAATAATGAAAAAAAAACAATTCTGGGTTTAACCAGTTTAATCCGCGGTGTTAAACCCCCTTCCCATCCAGGCCATTTTTCAGTATTCAGCACTGCGGTACTTTGACTGACATTTATTCCGTCATGCAGCGCTGTACTGAAATGAATTTTATACCCTTTTTTAGGGACAGATAGAGCTTTCTTTTGGTGGTATTTATTCACCACTGGGGGTTTTATTTTTTAATATATTATGGAAAAATTACCGAAATAAAAAAAAAAAAAACAGTTGCCCCTATATTAAATGATAAAATGCGCGAAACCTCAAAAAAACGATAATATCCAAAATTGGCCATAGGCGACGCTTTAAAAGCTTTTACCGCTCATCAGTTTAGTGTTATCAGTGATTGATGGCCCTAAAATGATTGCTCTCACTGCGACGTTCGCGGCGATATGCAACGTGTGCTGGTGCACCGGACCCCTTCTGGGAGCCTCAGGTTTAGTTTTATGTAGATATGGGTCACAATGTTGCCGCTACGAATATTTGTTCGTATTATAGAATACTACTTATATATACATAATACTAAAACTGATGCTCGAATGCCATTCGGGTCTGGAAGCCTCAGCTTTAATATAGCTCCCAGACCCTTATTGCTTTCTGGAGCTCCCAATTGGTATTCGGAAATTCGGACTCCCGAATGCCATTCGGGTCTGGGAGATCCAGCTTTAGTATTCATATCTGGATATGGTTTTCTGTGGCATTCGCAACGAATATTCATAAACTCATCTGAAACAACTGAAAATTCAGATTTCGTCCAAATCTGATACCCGAACAGAATTGAATTACAGATCCGAATCCCGAAATAACGGAACCAAACCCAATTTTTCCGCAGCTTACATGTCTAAGTACAACTGCTATAAAAAGGAACCTTTAAGGCGAGCCTATGAAAATGGAGGTTAGTTAGTATAAGTCTATCTGACTGAACAGCTATCTCTGGGACTTCAGTTGGGTGTCTTGGTCAGAATAAAAGGAAAGTGAGCCTGAATAAATGGAATAAAAGGGAATCCTCTAAATAACATCACATATAGATTAGACCCAATAAAATGACTCGCTCAGCATGGTTCCCTTACCTCCGTGACCGCATCAATGGACGCCCCAGATTTCAGGAGAAGCTCCATGACTCTGACGTGGCTCTTCTTGCAGGCTATGTGTAAAGGAGTGAAGCCATTCTACAAAGAAGACACGGCCGGGGTTAAAAAGAGAAGGGGAAAAAATGGAATAATGAACATTTGAAAAGAATACAGTAAAAAGCTGATCGGAAGTAGATGGAAAAATGATCAGACCAAGAACAGCGCAGAAGAGGAGACGCGGGAGGAAATCATTAAGAAGGAATACTAGTAGGGCTGTTAAATAATAAAAGAGAATTGTGGAAGGAAAACGATGTTTCGTGGGATTAGAGAAGAGAAATATCATAATTGGTCAGACATTCAGAACTGCATATCATGAGGGCTGATGATCGTTTTGCCTAGCGGACACGTACTAGGGCCCGGGCGTTTGGCTTGCCCCCCTTCTCCAGGAGCAGTTTTGCCACGCGATGGTGACCACAGTGAGCTGCTACGTGCAGCGGAGTCAGGTGATCCAACGTGATGTCATCTATCTGAGCTTGGTATTGCAAGAGTAGCCGCACGCAGTCCAGGTGGTCTCCTTGTGAGGCCATATGAATAGGAGATAGGCCGTTCTGGAAACAAAGAAAAAAATTGGTAAAGGAAATCTTTAAATGCAGCCGTCATATACAACTAACGTTTCAACGCTGGTAACTCAAAAAAACAGAGCACTCGTATGTGGTGACATTCCCAGCTGGCCTGGGACAAAGGAAACAGACAAGTATCAAGATGTGATTAAAGGCCAACTCAACTTTCAGTTCATATCAGCACATTCCAGGTGCTACAATATAAAAAGCATGCAAAGTCTTACAGTTCATTGTCTTTAAGGAAGCAGCCACAACCTGATTAGAGAAGCCTGTCCCTGGCCAGCAGGCTGCTGAGACGTACCCTTGCTTTCTGTGCTGAGGCAATGATCTCTCTGCTGAGCCACACCTATAGCTTAGCAATCAACAAATGTCTAAAGTCCCTGCTGACTGGACAGCTCTGGCTCAGACTCTGAGCAGGGGGTGTGATGCAGGGGTGTCCCAAGGCCAGGCATCCCCCGGAGCAGAAAACCAGGTGACACCCCACCGTGACGTCATCACGCATGACGTCATTGTGCATGCACGACCATCTAATTGACGCCTGCCGGCGGCCATCTTAGTGATGGATGCCCGCAGAGAGAGGAGGGGACGTTCACCTGGTGGGATGAGTTATGCCGTGGGGTGCCCTACTCTCTCCTGACACTGTCGGGCTCTCGATCCATGACCGAGTGCCCGACATTTTAGAGGGGGTGACACTAAAATGACTGGCAGTCATTTTGGTGTCACCCCTCCAATGGTGTTACCCGGGTGATGCCACTGGTGTGATGGATCTCTGCAGAGAGACCACTGCTGCCATACAAGAAGCAAAAGTACTTCTCTGGGCATGCTGGCCGGGGACATGTGAACTCAGTTTACTGAAGTCACATCGGTAGAAGATGGGTTCTGATGGGTTGATATTGACACGGTGCTGTGCATTTACAGGTTTGCTTATTGCACTCTTAGTGAATGAGCAAACCCAAGGCAAGCGCTTCCGGGAGTGCTTCTTAAACCTAGCTTTACCCATGGAGAGCAATGCAAGGAGCAAGGAGGCCATTTGGTGATATGGTAAATGGAGCCCTATCATTATTAAGAGGGTTATTCACAGAAGGGTGAAGGGTTTGGAGAAGGCCGGAGAAGTGAACAATCTAGGACAACATAACTGAACTGGAAAGTGAGCTGAATTGGAGAATTTTTCCAGTCCAGCTATGTTGTCCTAGATTGTTCACTTCTCCTGCCTTCTCCAAACTCTTCACCCTTTTGTGAATAACCCTGTAAGCCTTTGGCTGTCACAGTACTTGTTCCAGTTTATTTTGGTCATGTAATGTTAATCTGATCCATGCCTGGCTTGTCCTACCTTGGTTTTGGCTTGTATGGGAGCGCCATGATCCAGAAGAATCTCTGAAATCCGGACGTGTCCATTCCTTACAGCACAGTGCAAAGGGGTCAGCTCATCCTGTAGGAAGCATTGAGATGTTACTATCACAGAGATGTTACTATCACACATACAGTAACATGCAGTATGCACCGATCAGCCATAACATTATAACCACTGGTGAAGTGAGGCGGAAGCATTGCGATGCTTTGGGCAATGTTCTGCTGGGAAAACTTTGACATGTGCCACCTACCTAAACATTGTTGCTAAGTACACGGCTTCATGGAAAATGGCATTCCCTGATAATGCCATTATTAAAAGTGGCCTCTTTCAGCAGGATAATGCGCCCTGCCACATGGCAAAAATGGTTCAAGAATGGTTTGAAGAACATAGCGTGTTCGAGGTGTTGACTTGGCCTTCAGATTCTCCAGATCTCAATCCAATTATCTGTGGGATGTGCTGGAAAAACAAGTCCGATCCATGGAGGCCGATCACCTCACAACTTACAGGACTTAAAGGATCTGCTACTGACGGCTTGGTGCCAGATAGCACAGCATACATTCCGAGGTCTAGTGGATTCCATGCCTGGACGGGTCAGGAAAATGGGGACCTACTGTATATTAGGCTGGTGGTCCTGATGTTATGTTATGGCTGATCGGTGTATTGATGAGTCAGTTCAGATACCCCCCTTTTATACCTTGTTACATTTTGTAAGAGAAAGAAGAGAAATTGTACATTTGTATCAGATATTTGCATTTTGTTGTTCTGGGTCTCATGAACCTCGGCTTGCACTAACCCTCACTGACTACTGGAAATCTACCACATACAGGCAGGTAGCATGAGATGGGTTTTTTCTCTATGCTTTCCTTCCCCTGTTTGCATACTACACGCACTCAGGTCAAGCTTCTTTAATTTTATTTAGGATTAGAACGGAATTCTCTCTCCTCAGTCCCATATCTCAGTTCTGCTTGGAACCAGGGCCGGATTTCCCACAAGGCCACCGAGGCCGGGCTTGGGGCAGCAGGGAGTAGAGGGGTAGCCGGGGTATGGAATTCCTATCGACCAAAGCCTTGGACATGCAGTTCCGGGCGCTGGACGGGCAGTCATTTTCTACAGTTAGCCCTGCTTTGGGCAAACATAGGAAAATGTACAGCGGGGAAGCCGCCACTTGTTCTGTACACGTGACCCTGGAGATGTCGTCAAGATCACTTGAATGCAGCCTGCAGGTCTGTCCTCCCCGCTGGTTACCTCTCTCCCCACCAGTGGCCTCCCTCCCCGCCATGGTTTTCGGGGACTCCCGTTCTTCTGCGGGACCCGGGACCATGGCAAGGTAGCTCAGGATGGAGATCGGGGAGCAGAGCAGGATGTTCTCCAGGATGAGTTCCAGCACAGTGCTGTGCTCAAACTCCTGTATTGGAGGTTCAATAAAGAGAACCTGTCACCCCCAAATGCTATCACGTGGGGGCTTCTTAACTTTATTTAAAAAGTATTAAAATAGAAAAAAAAATAAAAAATTAAGTAAGAAAAAATAAATAAAATAAAAGTAAAATAAAATATAACAAATATATAAAAAAATAAAAAGTAAAAGATAATAAGATAAATAAAAATTTAAAAAAGTAAAAAAATTAATAAAAAATTTAAAATGTAAAAAAGTAATAAAAAAGTAAAATAAATAAATAAATAAAACCCTGCTGCCCCCGCCATCTGGTTGCCATTCTCCATTGGGGGAGAGTTTTGCAGGGAGGGGGCGTAAGGAACCTGGCCTTGGGGCAACAGAGATAGTAAACCCGGCGCTGCTTGGAACGGCTCATTACCTTGGTGCGTGCGTCAATCAGGGCTCCTCTGTCCAACAACAGCCGCACCATGATAACATTCCCGCGTCGTGCAGCGATGTGCAGAGCGCTGATGCCGTTCTGTAGAGAAACAACAACGACACAGAAGTCAGAAAGAAAGGAAACCTGAACTGAAATGTATGCAGTGCCTACCACTGCTGACCTCCATCCTGGAAATGCTAGCTGCCTGGCTGTCTCTGGCTTTACAACATCAAGTCGCTTACCTGGAACAAGCATGCAGCCAGAGAAGTCAGAAATCCTGATCTGCGTACTAGATCCAGGTCATTGACTCAAAAACCACTAGGGCCCTCCAGCTGTGCTATAACTACAAATCCTGACATGCGTCTGCCTCTGGAAGTCAGTCTTTCAATGCCTCATGGGACTTGTAGTTCCACAACAGCTGGAGGACCGGAGTTGCCCACCCCCTGCACTAAGGTCTATTTTACACTTGTGCATTAGAGGCAATGCGTGCTAAAACACACGCGTGGCAAAGCACTCGCTCTATGTCCGGTGCATTGTGGGGCCATTCATTGTGAATAGCGCCCCAATGCATTGTACAGTAGAGCCCGACTCACTGCGCAGCGCATATACTGTCTGTGGTGCTGTGCTGCATTTTTAAAAACAGGGTTATGTGTGTTTTTTTAATCTGTTGCATTGCCGGCCCATTCATAATACATGTGCTGCCTTAAAAAGGAACTGCAGTTAAAATGTTTTATCTATTGTCTATTCCCACTCCTCCTGTGTTAAAAATAATTCTACTTACCCTCTCCAGGCTCCAGCGCTGTCTAGCGTTGCCACCTGTCCAGGATTCACCTGGACAGTCCGGGTTTTGAATGCTGTGTTCGGGTTTCATGGCAGCAGAAACCCGGACACAAGATGTCAGGCAGACAGGGGCAACCAAAATTAAGATAGGGGCTACTGGCCCCCCACTGAAAATAGTCTCAGCTGGGATATTTACATATGAATGGGCGGCACTATTCACATATGAATAAGCCGCGACTCATTCTCCCCAAAAAATGTCCGCCCGTCGCTAGAGTGTTCGGGTTTCGCTTGAAGAAAAGGTGGCAACCCTAGCGCTGTCACGAAATTCCTCCTCGGTCCAGCGCTGGCTGTGCTCTTTAGGCAGAACAACACTAGTACCAAACTGCCTATTTCTTGTGAGCCTAGCCTGCCATTTACATGGCCCCTATTGTACATGTCATAATGCCGTCTGGGCCAGTACTCATAGGAGGGCCCCCTACTTCTTCCGGCTGCGGTGGGTGGGGGGTGTCCAGATTCTGAGTGGCCAGCGCATGCTGATGGCACAGGTGTGCACAGCCTTTACAATAAAGGTGTTGGGAAGGGCTCAGGACTCCACCTGGGAGACAGGAAAACTCCACCCAAGAGTCAGAGTAGAGTCCCATGCAGCAGGGTGCTGCAGGTTTGACAAAGCCAAGTGTGCAGTTTAGTACGAGACTGAGACTGTCTGGAGGAACAGACAGTGGTCTGAGGTCTAAGGCCAGAGCAGCGGTGCTGCAAATGCAATGCCAGGAGGCTTGATGGGCATGTGTTGCCAAGACATGCAAAAGAACCCCTGCGAGGGTAATTGTTCCTGTTTGTGAACTGTCCTTTAATAAAAGTGGGCAAGGAAGCCCTGAAATGAAGATTTCTGCGAGTGGATGCGTCCTTAATGCGCTACTGTTTGGAGCGAATTCTCACTATATATAC